TCTGCACTTTGAGTTGCCTTGTGTATAAACTGTGCAATACAAATAAACTTGCCTTATTACATACAAATACTGCATCATTGTACGTCTGTTTCAAACGTGCTCACAAAGAAATATGACATTTCTAAAGCAGTGAGCAGCTTTGAGCCAAAATCACCAACTCTCATTCCTCTTTCCCAAACTTAGAGATGGAAAAACCCACGCTTTCATAATGTCCTCAGCGGTTAAACACAAATAAACACGCCGCTCTTTCCGTAGACAAATAGGTCTATCAAAAATTCCATCCTGTTACCTTGACGACAGCCGTTTCCACTCCCAAAACACCAATAGTTGTACAGACGCAAGATCATGTCAGGCTTTGGTTCGACGTCAGAGGTTGGAAAACAGAGATTTAAAGTTAAGGTGTGTAAATCTAACTAGTTCCTCCCTTTCAAACAGTTGGGGTCTATCACTAGTTTAATGTCACATCTTTTTAAAACAAGATCATTTTGCTTTGTCCTTGCGACAAATCTTGTATTAAAGCTGCACTAACTGACTTTATTTTCGTATTCATTACGAAAATGCTATCCATGTCCATGTAGTGCATTGGGATATACGTCCTTTTGAAGAAAAAGTAGCACAGATTTGTGCTGGCGTGACATTATATTTTAGATCGAGTTTTGATGAAACAAGGAAGAGAATGTGTTTCGGGTCGCAGATTGTGACCAATCATAACGGACCACTGGCCCCCACTTTCGTGAGAAATCTACAGGTCCGTTAGCATAGACGGCTAAGTTAGCACAACAAGCCAAGGAGCTAACGTGAAACTTCCTCATCTTCGTCACCGGTTACTGCTTACACAGCGAAATAGGCATCCAAAAGAAAGTCCCGTTCCTCCGCGCTTCCCGGTTCTATCGTTTTATGGTCACACCATCCACGTGTAAATCCATATTCATGTATTATCCATATTGGGAGACCCTAGCTCCGTCCCAACAGTGGGTGTGTGTGGGGGGCGATAGCTTCGTGGGTGCGGGGAGGGGAGCAGAAAGAGCGAGGCCAGCGAGTCCGCGGCTTCAAAATCCCAAAGTCAGTTAGTGCAGCTTTAAGGCCGTCAGAATTATTTTGTCCAAGTAAACATTATAGAATTTAATAGCTTATCTTGTTTTAGAATTTGACATCAGTTCTTCAACCTTGGATACCTTGGATACATCAATGTTTTTTCAAACTTTAAAAAAAGAGCCATGTGCACAGCAAAACATGATTAAAATTGATTTTAAAAAAAATACTCGAAGTTGGCAAAATGTATTGTATTTTGAGCACATTCTGGCTGCCTAAAAACTAGATTTGCCGATGGGATAAAGCAAATGTATCTTGTTTTAAAAAGATATAATAAATGTTTCCCTAAAATTAAAAAGCAACAGTTCTTAAGACTTAAGGGCGTTGTCCCATTGGTGAATCTTGTTTTAACACAGTCAGAATGTGGTCATAAAAAAAAAAAAACTCTGTAATTATTATCTCATATTTTAGCATTTTTGACATATTTGCAATACCACTCCGGGCCTGTGGGGGTGGACCCGGAAAAAGTATTTTCTCATGTTTTTGTATGGTGTCTTCTTTCCTCTCGAAAACCTCTTTACAGGATGGTCCAAAAGTCGGCTCTTGGCCCACACTATGTTCCAGATCCGTGTCAATGCTGAGGGGAGTATATTTTTTGGACCAGTGTAGTTTAGCCGCTGTGGACTGCAGAAGGAACCCATCAAATGAAGGGGCTAGTGCCAGCTAACGCATGCGCAAATTTGTTTTTTTAGATGTTCCTGCCCCGTGGCCATTTTGAAAAAGGCCATAATTTGAACGGCAGAGATTGGCGTGACTATGCTCGTCAATATTTACAGTCTATGGGATAAACATGCTTAAAGGATTAAAATTACCTCTGTTTGTAAACTCCAGCCTCAACCACCAGATGGAGCTGTCGTCATTATGTTCAATATTTATTATCTGAATCCCATGAGTCTTTTCCCTTGGCCCATGTCCATCCCGGTGTGTGTGTGTGTGTGTGTGTTACGTGTGTCTGGCGTTGTGTGTCTGTCATTGTGTACGTACTCACAGCAATAAGTGTCACACAGTGTTTGAAAGCAGCAGGAAGTTACACCTATTTTTACCACAAACAGCCGGGACCCAGGGAAGCACCAATTAGCTCACAGGAAACACACACTGACATACAGGCCAACCCTCCAGCTACACACACACACATATACACACGCTCAGGCCAACCCAGTAGCTACACACACAGACACACACAGGCCAACCCAGTAGCTACACACACACACACATATACACACGCTCAGGCCAACCCAGCAGCTACATACACAGACATATACACACGCTCAGGCCAACCCAGCAGCTACACACACAGGCCAACCCAATAGCTACACACACACACATATACACACGCTCAGGCCAACCCAGCAGCTACACACACACACATATACACACGCTCAGGCCGACCCTCCAGCTACACACACACACATATACACACGCTCAGGCCAACCCAGCAGCTACACACACAGACACACACAGACACACACAGGCCAACTCAGTAACTACACACACGCACACAGACACACACTCGCTTTTGTCATCATCGTGTGTGGAGAGAATGGAACAATATCTGAACATTATAAAGCGTGACCTTGGTTTGTAAAAATGCGCTATTTCAATAAAGATTACTTACTACAGACACACACACAGGCCAACCCAGCAGCTACAGACACACACACAGGCCAACCCAGTAGCTACAGACACACACAGGCCAACCCATTAGCTACAGACACACACACAGGCCAACCCAGCTACAGACACACACACAGGCCAACCCAGCAGCTACAGACACACACACAGGCCAACCCAGCTACAGACACACACACAGGCCAACCCAGCAGCTACACACACACACAGACACACACAGGCTAACTGTTACTGCAGTAGTTTGTTCCAGTGTGTATGGAGTAAATGAAAAATCCCACGAGAAGCGTTTAGTGTTGTGAAAAGTGCTTGCATAATTATCAAAACTCATGGCTCCAAATTAGTTCTACAATCAGATTCTGTTTATTTGCCATTTGCACTAAAACCCCTGTGGAATAACTGTGCATAACTACCCCAGTGTGCACCAAGACAGTATGAAGATCAATCCAAATACAATCTTTGCAATTGCTTCGATTGATAGAAGAGCAGAATGTATTTTTGTGTTAATATTCTCAAAATCAAGTTTAAAGGCCAAAATGTGCACTCACTTGACTTCACTTTTATAATTGACAAATTGATATCAACATCTTGCATGGATTGATTTGACCGTGAGCATTGTTTCTTGTACTTTTTTTCTTGTTTTATGTATGTACTTGTCTGGTGCACACTGAGGACTCTTGCACATGTATTCCTATGTGGTTTATACTGCAAATGACAAAAAACTGAATCTGAATCTGAAATAACCTACAGAGCAGTCGATACAATCACAGGACTGTTCTGAATAGCCTCACTTCTTCTTCTTCTGCTGCTCCCGCTTCGTACACACAAAGTCAATCAATAAATCTTTCTTCTCGTCTTTTGGAAAATGAGAGGGAATTTTCCATCTGCCGCAAAAAAAAAAACTGCAAATGTCCAACTTTCACGTCAGCGGAGCCAGCAGCAGAAAGGATTTACTGTCGAGCTGCGAGTCCTGGTTCTTTCTCCAAAATAACTGCATGGATCGGACCCAAGGAAAACTCCAACACCGACTCAGCGACAGAAGCCAAAACCGTACGACGAGTCTGTTTTATTAATAACATATGCAAACAAGAGCAGGAGGGAACTGGACGTGCGCCATAAGAAGAAACGAAGGATTAGAAATAGAAGTTTGTGGAGTTTTACTGAGTTTGAGAATATTTGGGTTTACCAGGAATCTGTTAAGTCCAGGAACAACACGGCTGCATCTGGATCAACACCAAACAACTGGGAAAATGTCTTTATGTTCTGCCAGGTCAGAGATGTGTTGTCATTTTGGTTTTGAAACATATTTTTAATACAGAATTAAACGGTGTCAAAACAATAAAAAAGTAGTAGTGGTGATATATTAATCATTCCCCCAGAATCTAAGCAGGGCAGGGACTGGTTAGTACTGTGACGGGAGACCTCTGGGAACACCAGGTGCCACAGTGGGGCGGCTGCGGCTGTAAAGTGCGAAACTGTGGGTGTTCGTAGGGTTGTGTTGAAGACACTTCATTAGAATGAGTCTGGAGTGTGTGTGTGAACGGTTGATGGGCTGATGGCGCATAATGGTTCCCTCGCTTCTGCCAGTGTGCCCCAGGGCAGCTGTGGCTGCAGTAGTAGTTAATCACCACTGTGTATGGAGTGAAAGAATAATGACGTGAAGCGTCTTTGAGTGAGCAGCAGCGGCAGTAATAGTAGCAGTGGTAGTAATGCCTTCGTTCCTCATGGACTCATGACTTCTTCAGCAACAGACCACAGGCCGTCAGAGTTGTGTGACATAATCCACCCTCGTCACCAACACTGCTGCCCCCCTGGGGTGTGTATTAAGTCCATTTCTTTACACCCTCTACACAAATGACTGCATCAGCTCATCTCTAAAATCACATATCTATCTATATATCTGGTAGTTTGCTTACTACTTACTCCTAGCAGCAGCAATAGCAGCAGCAGCAGTACTAGTAGTACTAGTAGGAGCAGTTTACTAGATCAGTAGTTCTTAAATTGACAACAATTTAACAATTGACAAAACAACAAAAGATACTTGCTTTGTTTTTTCCAACAACATCCAATTGTACCCATAACTTTTTGATTTGTTTTTTGTTTTAGTCCCAAAAATATTGACAATTTATTGACAATATTTTAGGGAGCTAAAACTCTCTTGGTCAGCAGATTCCATTATGTAACATTGTTCAATACTGCTCCACACACAGACCAGGCCAAACCCGGTCAGATTGAACCGGGGCAAGCCTGAGACCACAACAGGGGGTCACACGAGGGTTGCCATGGTAACACACAACAATTACATAAGGCACATCTTGGCGTTTAGCACGGCTGTCATTCCTCATCTGCATCAGCAGCAGCAGCAGCAACAGCAGCAACGGCAGCAGCGGCAGCGGCAGCAGCAGCAGCGGCAGCGGCGGCAGCGGCGGCAGCGGCGGCAGCAGCAGCGGCAGAAGCAGCGGCAGAAGCAGCGGCAGAAGCAGCGGCAGAAGCAGCGGCAGAAGCAGCGGCAGAAGCAGCGGCAGAAGCAGCGGCAGAAGCAGCGGCAGAAGCAGCGGCAGAAGCAGCGGCAGAAGCGGCGGCAGAAGCAGCGGCAGAAGCGGCAGCAGCAGCAGCGGCAGCAGCAGACGCTACCGTAAAGGGATGCGTTTCTTAAATGGGGGTAACTAGCTTCTGTTCTGACCCTTGCTGTCACAATGTGGTGCTAGGGCTGGGCGACATGACAAAAAAGTAAAATCTCGATTTTATTTCCTGCTTTGGACAATTTTGATTGATTTTAAATCAATTTTAATTTAAGTCACCAAAGACAGACTTTGCCCTTAAAATATTTTTGGATCTTTCCGCTCAATATTTTCATTTTTCAAAACTATTTTCAATTTGTTTCCCCCAATACGTATTATAAAAGTCTTGTACAGACTGTGCTGATATTTCAAGTATAATTCATGTGCTGCTGGAACTCTCACAACATCCTTCATACGATTTCACGATTTTAAAATTGTTTACTTTTTCAAAAGCCGATTAATTGCCTAAATTTGATTTATTACCCAGCCCTACATGTGGTGCTATTCCAAACACTTTGGACGCTCAAGAGTCACACTTTTATTGTGGCCTAAAAACACCAACTTACTCTTGGCTCCAGTCGCTCTGCTCAAACGCCACACTTTTCATTCTTTCATTCTCATTCATTCATTGCTGCACATTGGAGAAAGACACATCTCATATTGACTCTGATTGCAAAGAACGCGACCCATGCTGGAGCTGGTTGGTGCACAGAAAAAAAATCGAGTGTAAACAGGAAGAGAAACGGAAACTTAATATGGACCTCGAGGTAGTCGCCACCAGCTGGACCAAGCGCTGTACTACTGGGCTGGCACGGTTTAAAAAATAAACCCAATCTTCACACCCCTGTGGTGACAATCCGTGACAATAGTTTGTTTGTGAAGACCTATGTGACCGTTCCCTTAGAGGGATTCTAGAAGGTGACGGAGAGATGGTGGACGATGATGTAGCACAGATGTGCACCCCATGTTTACTTTTAAATGCACATGTTGTTTTGTGTTGTACAATTTTTATTTTTATTGCTTTTTTCTTTATTATTATGCTTTTTTTTAATTGTTTGGATGGATGTGTTTCTGCTACAACACACCTGCATTTCTCCTACAGGATAAACAAAGAATCTATCTATGAACAGTATCTACTCCACTCTCGGCCTTGTTACCCTTTGAGGTTCAGGTTCAGATGCTCTGGATCGTCGTATACAACAGTGTGTTCCAGTTCCTGTCAATATCCAGCAACGTGGACGGATATTTCACAGCCCACAATTAACAAAAAATAAAACTTCCAGTATTGCACTGTGTGAGGAAAACGCTGAAACGCCCCAAAAACACTGCATCCTTTTACTGTGATTCCACTGTGCAACACCCAGCTGCCTCATCAGCATCTGCATCAGCATGTGAGGATCCAAACCAGGGGTTTCCCGCTCACCAGCCCTATGTGCAGCTCCACAAGTATTCATGCACCAACAAATGAATCATGGATTGTTTTCTGGGTGCCTAACTGTACCCCAAGGCTCGCTCACGTTTTTTTTTTTTGACGACAGGTAAAGAAGTTTGTCTGAAAAAGCAGGTCTCTGGGGGAAAGAGATCGAAGAGATTTATGTATGTATGTGTTCATGTAAACCAATTCAGACTTCAGATTTGTGAATAGTGACTGATGGTCTATCTTTATACAGAGGTTTAACCCATGAAAAATGGGTTCGTATATTTCAAATAAATTAAAAAATATAATGAGTGAGTGTGGAACAAACGGTGATTACTTTTCAATGTAAGTGAATGACGCTTCAAAGCAGGATCTTCACCAAGAGCACTTCTCTGTTAGCTTTGTGTAGCTGCGTGTTACACTGTCGCTGGATACAGGCTGTGGTTTAGGAGGATAATTTCCACTGGCACTGATTATCCGTCACATTACTGTTTGAATAATGGTTTTGTATTCCGCACTATGACCTGGCCCTAACCACGTCAGCAGGAAGAGTGTGACATCACAGACAGAGGTATGGTTATGATCTGAGACACAGACGCTTGATGTGAAACAGAGTGAAGCCTCCTGTCCTTGAGTCTGCAGCCTGCTCCCATCTGCACCGCTGCTATGAGACACACACACACACACATACATAAACAAACACACATACGTACACAAACACACACACACAAGCCTCATTCCCACTGACAAGGAGCAAACAGCTTTTATGATCACTGTGGTTCAAACACAGACCTGTTGTGGGTCCGTGAGACGAGGAGAACAAGCAAACAGAGCATCTTTCCACTGTCACAGCTTCTGTATATTCATTGTCATTTATTGTTGCGTAGCAAGTGACACGTAGGTCAAGAGAGAGAGCGCAGATAGACACATAATCACACATTTACATACAGACAGACACACACACACACACACACACACACACACACACACACACACACACACACACACACACACACACACACACACACACACACACACACACACACACACAGTCCCAGCTGGGCTTTGTTGTTGCGTAGTTACAAGTCACAGGTCGAGAGAGGACCAAGTATGTTGTATAAGGTAAAGGTGTACTTTATTAATCCCCGTAGGGCAATTCATCCTCTGTATTTGACCCATCCTGATGCAGGGGTTGCCGTAGTAACAGCGCCCGGGAACCCATCTCCAGATGTTGATGCTCGGCTTGGTCAGGACTACAGAGGCTGGAGGATTTAAGCTAGTGTGCATGTTTTTAGTGATAGGGGAAACAGGAAACCTACGCAAACACGGGGAGAACATGCAAACTCAGAAAGACCCCGTTCCGACCGGGATTCAAACCCAGGACCTTCTTGCTGAGAGGCGAGAGTCCTTTCCGCTCAGCCACCGTGCCGCAAGATAAATGAATAACTAAAATCTCTAACTTTAGCATAATAGACACACACAAACTCAGAAGCAAGTATGAGATGTTACACTTACTTCCTTGTGATGCTAAAAGTAGAGATTTTAGCTTTAGCATAAAAAAGCGACACAAAACGCAGTTAGCCAAAGGCTAGTACCTATGTACATGGAATGAGACGAGATCAAGTAAACTTTATTGTCTCCAGAGGGAAATTTGTCCTACTTCAGTTTGATGTTGAATCTAATGCACAACTCTATAAATATTTTATTCACCGTCGTCTAATGCTAATATCCCTGTCACATTTCTGTAAACCGCATGAACTGTCACACACACGCACACACATATTCACACACACGTACATACACAGACACACACACAGACACACACACACATGGAACCTCAGCGGTGTACCCTCCAATCATAATCCTGCTCTGGCCCAGATCTGAAACGGGGGGAAAGCAAGACGCACCATTGGGACAACTTTTTATTCTTAACCTACTTTCCCACAATGCATTTCTGTGTGAATTTAGTTTCACACGTTCACATTATAGACGAGATGAGAGGACTAAACCGTTCAATCACACCTCCTTCCCATTCTGCATCAGCAAAAAACGAAACCTCAAACAACTCGTCAGTTCTTTCCCACAATCAGGGACTATTTACACTGTAAAAAGTGATCAAAGATAAGTCAGAAATGTCTGGAATTTGGCAAAATGTATTTTATTATGAGCACATTCTGACTGCATTCAAACAAGATTTTATCTGGTCTCTCTCTCCCTGGTCTCTCTCTCGTCTCTGTCTGATCTCTCTCTGGTCTCTCTATGCCTCTATGGTCTCTCTCTCTCTGGTCTCTCTATCTGGTCTCTCGCTCTGGTCTCTCGCTCTGGTCTCTCGCTCTGGTCTCTCTCTCTCTGGTCTCGCTCTCTGCTCTCTCTATCTGGTTTCTCGCTCTGGTCTCTCGCTCTGGTCTCTCTCTCTCTGGTCTCTCTCTCTCTGCTCTCTCTCTGGTCTCTCTCTCTGGTCTGTCACTGGTCTCTCTCTCTGGTCCTTCTCTCTGGTTTCTCTCTCTGGTCTCCCTAGGGCCTTCTCTGGTCCCTCTCTGGTCTCCCTCTCTGGTCTCTCTCTGGTCTCTCTCTCTGGTCTCTCTAGTCTTTCTCTGGTCTCACCTGCATTTCTCCAACAGGGATCAATAAAGTATCTATTTATAAAGAAATAATTTTGATTTGAATCCGTTCTGCTCTAAAGTCGTGGAGATGAAAGAGATTCTAAACAACATGATGAATGATGTCACAGCACATACCTCGACAGATCATAATCTGGAGCTGAACTACATCCGCTGTCCCAGAGTCACTCACGCACACAAACACTGAACTAGGTTTTTAATGTTTGGGGGAAACCGGAGCACCCAGAGAAAACCTACACAGACACAGGAAACATATACACTGCAAAAAGTGAGGAAATTAGCCAATGGGACAAATCAAAATGATCTTTAAAAAGATAGAAATCTCTCTATTGGAATGAGAAAATAAGGCAACGGTTCTTGGAATGTAAATGGCTTCGTCTCATTGGTGAATCTGTCAAAATGTACTCAAATGAATCTAAAAACCACTTGATTCTAGCAACTATTACCACATATTTTTTTACATTTTTGCAGTGTAACAAGGTTAAAAGCTCAAAAAAGTTGATTTTTCATGATATTTCTTCTTTGTATTCTCTGTGTTAACCCATAACATCACATCATCAAGTCAAAAGCAATCATCGGACATGTTAGTTTCAGTGTAGCGTCTCCAGTCCATTTTATACTGTCTGTATCTACAGTATTGGCAGCGGTTTCTCCTGCAGTTCTGCGTGTGACAGTCTGTCCAGGTCCGCTGAGCGCCGTCCACCACTGCCCTCAGACAAAAGGACACGAGCTCATGTGAAATTCCACTCCTGCAGCGATGACAAAGCCACTGGTTCAGGGCCAGTCTCCAAAGTCCCAGAGTACTGTATATACTCTGCATCGTCCCAAATGTAAAAAAGTTTGATTTGTCCTCATTTATGTCTCAGGCTTAGAAGCACCTTTCACAGAGTTTTTTTCATAAAGTATCTTAACGTTGTTTATTTATGTCATTATTTACCACCAGAGAATATCAACTACTAGTTACCATAGCAACACACTGTTTACAGACAGAAGTTTGTAATTGCCTTGTTTTGCTGTATTTCATTTGCCGTTATAATGACCAGTTTTAGCATTTATTACAAGGTTAAAAAAATAAAATAAGATACAAAACCTTAAAGCTGCACTAACCGACTTTGGGATTTTGAAGCCGCGGACTCGCTGGCCTCGCTCTTTCTGCTCCCCTCCCCGCACCCACGAAGCTATCCCCCCCACACACACCCACTGTTGGGACGAAGCTAGCGTCTCCCAATATGGATAATACATGGATATGGATTTGCACGTGGATGGTGTGACCATAGAACGATAGAACCGGGAAGCGCGGAGGAACGAAACTTTCTTTTGGATGGCTGTTTCGCTGAGTAAGCAGTAACCGGTGACGAAGACACAGAATTTTCAAGTTAGCTCCGCCGTTTGTTGTGCTAACTCAGCTGTCTATGCTAACGGACCTGTGGATTTCTCACAAAAGTGGGGGCTAGTGGTGCACTGTGATTGGTCACAATCAGAGACCCGAAACACATTCTCTTCCTTGTTTCATCAAAACTCGATCTAAAATGTAATGTCACGCCAGCACAAATCTGCGCTACTTTTTCTTCAAAAGGAAGAAACAGGTATCCTTTTTGTGGACCTGTTTTGGGTTAGAATGGTATGTTTTAATTGGTACACAAACTTCTGACTTATTTTGTTGCACTGTTATTTTATTTTATTGTATTTTAATGATTGTATTTTGTAAAGGTTGCATGGTCACGTGGTGTTACCATGACGCCTTAAATCAGCAGTGTCAGCCACGACACTCACTTCCTAGACGAAGACTTTTGTCAAAACGCATCGGTTCAAATTATAAAGAACACAGTTTTCAAAGTGCCTCCTTCTCCGTTTCTTTCATTGCAACATTTTCAGTGTGAACTTCAGAGTTTGTTAAAAGAATCTTCTAGGAACATCCTCCCTTTGGAGCTGTTTTTCCACTCTCGCATTTTGCAAAGACCACATTTCTAACTTTTTCTGACATTGCTCCACGCACTATTATAAAAGTTGTCAGCTAGCACCCCCTCTCCCCCTCTCCTCTCCCTCTCCTCTCCCTCTCCTCTCCCTCTCCCTCATGGACAGTTTGCAGATCTGAAGATGGATGATCCCGCTCCAGGTTTGGGTCTATTTGTCGCAGAGGAGACGTGACGGTGATGGAGGGAGTTAAAATATTCATCTCAAACTATTTACTATTTTCAAAACAAAAATGACCTACGTTTTTGGCATGGTCTGAACTGAACAGGAAGCTGAAATGAATGAAGAAGGAACAGACAGGTGCACTCTAACAACGGAATCTCTAATACTTGATTTTAGGTTAGAGATAGATATTTGGACGAGTTGTATTTATTTATGTGGCCTACAATATTCCTCTGTTCTGAAAGACACATCTGACTGGTAAATAAATCTCTCATCTTATCAATAGAAGTTGTGTTTGCCAATACAACCCCAGTCATACCAAAAAGTTGTATAAGAAGACAGGAAGTACTTTGTTGAAAAATTAGGAAAAATGAGGCTTGAATCACGTGGTTTTTATGTTAATCTGAGCACATTCTCACCGTGTTAAAACAAGATTCACCAATGGGATAAAGACATTTAGACTTATTTTAAGAACTGTCGCATTAATCTCTCATTCCAAGGGAGACATTTCTTCAATCGTTTTGCTTTGTCCCATTGGCAAATCTTGTTTAAAAGGCAGTCAAAATGTGCTGAAAATCAGAAACATTTTTGCAGCGTAGTGCCACTGAGATTTCACATAGACTTTATGCAGTTTAAAGGCTGTTCTTAGAGAATGTCTCAATATGTGAGAAAATGAAATGATGTGGATCAGTGTGGAGGCACTAGTGTGAGATCATAACAGTGTGTCATGTGTTTGTTCCAAAATAGACTATGAGTTCAGAATAAAGCAGAATTCGTAATGAGAATTCACTTTAGCTTTATCTGGGTCAAATTTACAGTTGTGCTCTTGAGTTCAGCAAATTATTATTTCTTGTATAGATTTGTTCTTCCCCCCACAGTCGGTGAGTGGTTAGTGTGAGATATTGATTGTTGAGGATTTACCTTTAGAAACACTCAAACTTGATCTCATTCCAAAATTGACCAGAACTGCTTCTTTTGCATTATGTATGAAAGACATATTCAGCAACATCAGTTTAAGGAGAAGTTAGAATATTGTTCTTGAAAAACAAACTTGGAGCCAAACATGTGACGCTATGATGTCACAAACCGAGCTTTATACCTTATTAAACAAAGGTATTGCCTTGAGTTATATAGAAAGTATCTTTATAACTGCTGCATAACTATGATAGACTTTAAAGCAGCATTAGGACTGGCCTCCTGCTGGGACTTTGAGGAGCACAGGGACTAGCCACCTGCTGGGACTCGGAGGAGCATTGGGACTGGCCTCATATTCAGAGAGCAAGAAAACACACATACTGCTGCATATTTTCTATTTAAGTAAAATTTGAAATGAAAAATGGTAAAGGACAAAAAATGGGTCGTTATTATTAGAAGTGTAAGACCGCGCAGAAAGCATGAGGCCTAAAAATACCTCTGTGGCCATTGTTGATGCTGTAATAATGAGTCAGCAGCACGCTCTATTTACGGACAGGCTTAACCCAAACTAACACTGGACCTTACACCCAGAGGATCACCCACATGTCACCCAGAGGATCACCCACATGTCACCCAGAGGATCACATGTCACCCAGAGGATCACCCACATGTCACCCAGAGGATCACCCACATCTCACCCACACCTCACCCAGAGGATCACCCACATGTCACCCAGAGGATCACCCACATCTCACCCACACCTCACCCAGAGGATCACCCACACGTCGCCCACACGTCACCCAGAGGATCACCCACACGTCGCCCACACGTCACCCAGAAAATCTCCCACACCTCACCCAGAGGATCACCCAGAGGATCACCCAGAGGATCATCTACATGTCACCCAGAGGATCACCCACATGTCACCCAGAGGATCACCCACATGTCACCCAGAGGATCACCCACATGTCACCCAGAGGATCACCCACATGTCACCCAGAGGATCACCCACATGTCACCCAGAGGATCACCCACATATCACTCAGAGGTGACATATTGCAATGTAGCACAGGATTGAATCGCAGTATGTTAAAAAACGGAATAATATTGAATTGTTGCCCAAATATCAAATAGAGACAGTGATCCGAGCCCCAAACACCTCCTTTACCACACGTCTCCAAACCGTCACCGTTTCGCTGCCGCTGCTTCCCTCAGAGGCCCCTGGATATGTGACTGCAGCCATTTAGTGCAAAAACACATTTCAGTTTGCGTCCCTCGCTTGCCATAAGCCGTGTTATGTAAGTGCTATGAGCGTGTGTGTGTGTGTGTGTGTGTGAGCATGTGTGTGTGTGAGCATGTGTGTGTGTGTGTGTGAATGTGTGTGTGCAGGTGTGAAGATAGCTGTTACACCTCCATGAGTCAGGGGATAAGCAGCGGACGCCGATGCCAAAACGTGCCGCGAGGAAAAGCGCCGAAAGAGGAGAGAGTGTAAGCCAAGTCACGGTGGTATCTACAGTGTTTTAACGAGATTTAAAGCTCCATGTAGTGACGTGAAACAGGAATTGTAGTCACTTTAGCTTTCTGGGCCTTTGCTCGTGAGTGACGTGAAGGTGTTTACATTCATCCAATGTCCAGAACAGATATGGTTTGTTCATGCGTAAATCCATGGATAACTTTTTGGTTTGGGCTTGGACTGGGTTGTGGGGGTGGTAGCTCCCATAGAAGCTCTAGGTTGAGAAAGATAAGATAAGATGAGAAAGACTTTATTGATCTCACACTGTAGAACGTTACATGAAAGTTGACAAACTGCAGTGGAGGTTTGTGAGTCCAGAAGATTGAGAAGTAAACTTAACTTGCAGCGAGTTTGAACCCTCAATGATCATAGTAAAACTTGAAACGATATAGAAATCATCTCCATCTGATTTACACCATTTAAAGTGATAGTCTGGAACTCTAAATGAATTACAAATTTTAAGAATTGTATTAAATTGACCTCCTGGCCTTAAATATTGATATGAAATTATTATTAATTCTAATATTACTGGTAAGTCCCGCCTTCTCTTCTCTTAGCTATAGCTCAAAATCCACGGTGCCGTCTAGTTTAACCAATCAAGTGATGCCGAGGGCTGTCAATCATCGGCGCTGATGCTCGTAGCTGCGCGCAAGCTCAGTTGTTTGTTTTCACGGAGCCTCTGAATCAAGCCTCCATTAGGTTCTGGAACTACATGAAAACTGAACGAAGAATTCTGAACATCCGCGCTGATAGCTATTTATATACTGAACCTATATCCATAATCATTTATATACTGAACCTACAGTATATCCTTAATCAGATCCTCTGCAGATGTGTCCTATAATGTTTCATTAATTTTAAAAACTACTTCCGCGATCGCTTTTTTTGTGCATTAAAACATTATTTTTGTCATGAAAACGTTAACAAATAATTCTGCAAACCTCCGTGCATGTGTATTAATAATGTATATGTATAATGTGTTCTCTGATTAACATTTAAATGAGTTGATTGATTGATTGGGGAGGGAACTTGGGTCGTTTTTTCAAATCATGTACCTCTCTCTTTTTTTTCTGAAAAACTCCAGACAATCACTTTAAATGAGCAGGAAGCAAGGATTTTACTTACTTAAATATTGCAAAAAGATAAAATGGTTTCGAATGACTATTTTCTTGAAGTTTCTCTACAACATCCTCTACCTTCGTAAGTAAAACAAAGTATAAACCTTGCATTTAGTCACTGCTGGTCGTGTTGTGGTGATATCATTCTAAAGTTTAGTTTAAACATTTGTCAAACTTTGTCAAACTGTCCTGGGGCAGTTTGACGAAAGTGAGGCTATCAATCTGCTCCATCTGCTACCATCAACCATTCTCTCTCACACACACACGCACATCAATAATATTTGAATGGCTACTTCTGTAGATAAACCATGGCCCTCTTCTCTGCCAAACACCACATCAGCAGACAATCTTTACATCCCTTATCTCTGACACAATATTTTTACTCACCATGGGTCATGTTTCTGTCCCCACAGGACCAGCCTCAGACCTCCATAAAACACAGTGTAGAAGGAAACTGTAGGTATCAGGAGGGGTCGCTGTGAGGGCTGAGACCATGAGCAGAACGAACCAAGTCACGGGGACAGAAGGACTAATGTGCCACAACTATTACATCTTATAGTAGTTTGGGGGAAAAAACAATTCTGTTCAGTATCACAATATTTTACCCACGTAATTAAACATAAACAGTATATCAAAGTATTGCAATATTTAATCAAATAATGATATGTTTCTCTTTAGTGTTTTCTCTGAGTTTCCGCTGGTCATTTTCATCTGGGATTTCTGTTTCTCACTGATGTCTGCTTGTTTTGACTCTACAATGTCTGCTTGTTTTGACTCTATGATGTCTGCTTGTTTTGACTCTATGATGTCTGCTTGTTTTGACTCTATGATGTCTGCTTGTTTTGACTCTATGATGTCTGCTTGTTTTGACTCTACGATGTCTGCTTGTTTTGACTCTATGATGTCTGCTTGTTGTGACTCTATGATGTCTGCTTGTTTTGACTCTATGATGTCTGCTTGTTTTGACTCTACGATGTCTGCTTGTTTTGACTCTATGATGTCTGCTTGTTGTGACTCTATGATGTCTGCTTGTTTTGACTCTATGATATCTGCTTGTTTTGACTCTATGTCTGCTTGTTTGGACTCTACAATGTCTGCTTGTTTTGACTCTACAATGTCTGCTTGTTTTTACTCTACAATGTCTGCTTGTTGTGACTCTATTATGTCTGCTTGTTGTGACTCTACAATGTCTGCTTGTTGTGACTCTATGACGTCTGCTTGATGTGTCTCTACAAAAGCAGTGTGCTCCACTAGCAGGCCTGTATCCTGCACAGTCAAACTCAAACCGATCCTCCCGCACCAGAAGTCGAGTGTCGTAATAACTAAATAGAGCGTGCATAGAGCCCATTCCCACCACTAACGTTTGGTGAGTTCACACACTAAGACTATAGTCACAGGTTGGGTTTAATTCCACCACAGCAGTTTCATGTGCAGTGAGAATGAGGCTTTTAACACACACTTACAGCCAGAGCCAACACCTCAGATGATTACACACTCACAACTTTTGGTCAAGGGTCATGGATACAATCATCTGAAAAGGTTGTAGAGCGTCCCAGTCTGCCCAAAACATCTCAACAACACCAAAGACTGTCAACTTCTGTTTTAACGCACCACATACACACACACATATACACACACACACCCACACTGTTTTAAATCACATTAATAATGCAATTTTTTTATACAGTGCTTTTCAGGACACGCAAAGACACTTCACATGTCAATCTTCTTTCACTTTATACACAGTGTTGATAAACTGCTGTAGCCACAGCTGTCCTGGGGCACACTGACAGAAGCGAGGCAACCAGTATATGCCCTCGACCCCTCACCACCACCAACCATTCACACACAGACTCATTCTAATGTGGGTGAAGTGTCTTGCCTAAGGACACAATGACTGACAGAATCTGGCTTTCACCTACAGGAGTGGCCAAATCATAGCTCACCCTTCTTATTAATCAAACAAACATTGAAAAACTCCATGACTAAAGCTGATGATTCATTGTTTGAACAGAGAATCTACCAAAATCACAAAGACATTTATACTTCTCTAAACCAAAGTGGAACTGTTGCATGGCCACGGCACTTTTTCTACAGCCTCAGTCCTGGATCCGAGTTCTACAGTCCGTTCAGTTGTTCCTCTGATGCAAGAGGGTCTAAGGTAGGGCTGGGCAATAAATCGAATTTAGGCAATTAATCTGCGTTTGTAAAAATCAAATTTGTGAAAAGTGTGAAAATCATGAAATCGAATGAAGGATATTGTGAGAGTTCTAACAGCACATGAATCATACTTAATATGATTCATGATACTTAATAAGACTGTGCAATATCAGCACAGTCTCTATAAAGCCTAGCGTAGATCAACAGAGAAACTGGAAACAACTTGCAAGGCGGCTTTTAACAACTGAGAGTAGATGATGGAGATGATCAGTTGCCGAAATCGTGAGCGCTCTTACAACTGGAGATAAACAGTCGATCTCCAGATTCAGTCAGTTGCCCGTGTTCTACTTTTCGGCAACTAGTTGTCCTCAGATCCGGAGATATCACCCGATGTGCGCGCTCCGTGGCGCGCTCCAACAACATGTGTGTATTGTGTGTATTGCGCCCTCTACAGTTTATGTCAGAAAACACACTGTAGTTGACGACCAGTTGCTGTCGATGTACGCGCTGTTATTCCCGAGACTGGTCTGCTACTAGGAGTTTCCCGTTTTCGCCAGATCGTCGATGTGTGCGGGGCAGCAACTCAAATGCAACGGATATGATCAGTTGCCAGTCCAATGTACGCTAGGCATAAGACTTTTATAATACGTATTGGGGGAAACAAATTTTAAAAAGTTTTGAAAGATCAAAAAATATTTTCAAGGGCAAAGCTTGTCTTTGGTGACTTTAATGAAAATCAATTTAAAATCAAAATCGTCCAAAGCAGGAAATAAAATCGAGATTGTACTTTTTTGCCGTATCGCCCAGCCCTAGTCTAAGAACAAAGAGGATCCAGGACACTCGACAATCAGCCACATTTATAGATATTGGTCTCTGCCCCTTATGGACCAATGGCTCTATCGGTTTGTTTTCATGGCATTTCTTGCGTTTGAACTGTTTGATTCTGTTTGTAAAGTCCTCCAAGATACAGTAACTACTGTTGTGATTTTGGGCAATACAAAAATACATTGAATTGTGCCATATTTCGGTTTATTTTTTGTTTTATTTTGTAATTTGGGTCTTCCTTAATTCTACTTCCTGTTTCTAATTACCTGCCCTCATGTGTCACCTGTGTCTCGTTAGTCTCACCTGTGTTTGTTTTAGTCTTGTCCTAGATCCCTGTTTGGTTACTTTTTGTTGTTTTCTCTGGATTTTGTTTTGTTCTGTTTTACTTTTATTAAATCCATAAATGTTGTTGTTAATTTTGGGTTAATTTTCTTTTGTCAGAACAACATTACAATATTTTAAAGACAGAAGAAGATCATAGATACTCCCAAATGTCTTCTTATTGGTGCTCAACCTTTGTCGTTCTGTTCCAGCTGCTGTAAAAATACACGCATTATCTAAACATCAGTGTTCCATCTCGGCCCAAATAAGGTTCTGCCTCACATCACAACAGAACCTCGGAACCTGCCAGGACCAGAGAGAGCCATCAGCTTAACAAGGACGCATTCTGATCACTGCTTGTTCCAGCTCCATTCATCAAGAGGCCTTTTAGCGTCTGCTTACGATAAACTCTGAGCTCGCCATCTCGGCCCGCGTCCATCCGTTACTGTTACACGCACGATTAGACGCGGCACATAATGTGTCACGCTGTTATGGACGTGTCCGACTGCGGGAGAGCGGCTATAAATAACGCATTAGTGTCAGTTTATCGATGAAATGGTCTGAGTGACGTGAGCCAGTACAGTACAGGCGAAGAGGAAAATCATAATACAAAGAATCCGGGTTGGATAGGATTATGATTAATATGCCAAGTTTTTAAAAATATTTTGCTTCACACGTCATTATTATTTCACTCCAAACACACTGGTGAACTACAACTGTAGCCACGGCTGCCCTGGGGCACACTGACAGAAGCAAAGCAACCAGTCTGTGCCATTGGCCCCTTCCATCACCAACAACCATTCACACACAAAACAGACACATTCTTTTTGTGGGTGAAGTGTCTTGCCTAAGGACACAACCACAGTTTGTCACTTTACAGCCACCCCACTGTGGCAACTGGTGTTCCCAAAGGTCTCCCATCACAGCACTAACCAGAGGTCTGACAGGAGCTAGCTTTCACCTGGCGCCATAAACTACAACAAAAGCAAAAGGCAATCACATAGAAACTACATTTAAAAACAGAAAAAGTCACAGACCAACAATTACGCTTCCAAAACAAAAAGCCGTCAAAATGATCGCTGTTAAAAAAGAGTCGACTTGAAGAATCTATCAAAAGACCAAATTAACCATTTTGAACATTTAGGGCCTAACTTTCAAACCAATAATGTAACTAATTTAGAGATTTAATGACACTTTGAAGCAACTGTGGATAAAGTTCTATCATTCAACAATATGCATGAGCCAGAACTTTTCCACTAAATGTTCTGATTTCTGAAGGCCAAGCTACTCGCACTGTGGCAAAAGCTGATTGGAGGACTTCATTCCTCCGCTGTATATTTTCACTTGCATACTGTAATATCTGTGTTCGTGTTCGCGCTGTCTCTACCATCGACAATAAAACATGTCTTCTGTCTGAATTAAAGACACAATCCCAGACTTTGTCACCTTCTTCACTATTTAAAATCCATCTTCAGATCCTCGCTCTTCATGTACTTTGGCCTCCGTTTTTTACATCACATTTTTCAGACAGTAAAATAAATAAGACCACCTCACTCAGCCAATCAGCTCTTAGCCCACAGGGTCAAATAGTGACTCCCAGGGCTGTTTCTCACATGTACAAAAGATAACGTGTTTTCTGAGAGGATTAAGACATTGTTCTATTGAGAAAATACAATGCAATATTTATGAAAAAACAAGGGATTTATTGATAGAAAGAGGAGAAAATATGTATCAACTTAGTAGAAGTTTTGAATAATATGTTCGCATAAATTAAATCCAATATGTGCCAAAGATAACAACTGGCAATGCAAAAATACATTGAGATGAGACGGCTGCAGAATCCTAAATTGTATTACCAGAAATCATTCGTTCTTTCATATACAGTATGTCGCCGAAATACATTATTGAGCCGTAGAAGTATTTTTCTGTGGGAAAAAAGAGTTATGGAGGCCGCTGCAGTAGGCTTAAAGGTATACAGGGGGATTTTCTACTTCCGGGTGGATCATGAAGACTATTGGTCCTCCCAGTTGTCAATCATTCTGGTGATATGGGCTCATCAAATAAGACCAGAGAGTTTTGTTCAAAAAGTGCGGTTTTCTGAAATGTGAAAAAATCCGCCTATATTCCCTTTTAAGTTAAAAGTTAAAGTTATATTTATAGTCCTATGAGTATCTAAAACCAGGCAGACACCGTAAAATCAGAGAGAACTAGAACAAGAGAGGATGTCACACATACTATAGTTTCAATATATTGCATTTCCAGAATGATAGACATTCATCCTTTCATTCATTCATTCAAATATATTATAGGTGCACTTCTTAACAGATAGTTGGCTATAGGGAGAGAAAAAAACTAAAACACATGGAGCTCGATGCTGTGTTAAGCTGAGATGCCTGCGTGCCTACCTTGGAAGACATCCTCCTCCGTCGCTCCTCTGGGGGTGAAGAGTCGCACACCGTGGAGGGGAGGGGGTCCAGCGGGTGTGGGGTGTAGAGGGCGCTCGGACTGTCCCACAAACAGCGCGCAGTCCTTTATGCTGCTCCTCCTTCTTCCCTGCTGCCTCTGAGTAAAGGGATAGTCAGTTTGAGGTGGTTTCAGAGGGAAAGGGCCCCGCTCCGTAGGACAAGTCGCTGCTTCACTTCATCCATGTGCTTTTTGTTTCACGTATATTTCTCTCTGGGATGCGTCCATTACGTATAAAAAATAAATAAAATAAAAACAGATAAGAACTTGCCCAAGCCCTCGTGGTGTGCTAATGTCTGCTGTTCGCTGCTGTGTCTTAAAGGATCTTTGTGAATACTAAGATATATTTCTGTACCAAAATAAACTCCACTTGCTCAAATAATGCCACTTCTATATTCCCCCGTATCCCGCACACGCTCCAAATCTCTCTTTGAAGATTCTCCGCGGTCTGACTGAAGTGGTGCCTACAGTTTTTGTCTCTAACACAAAACTATATATTATCTACCAAACCCCAATAAACGACAGTAGTGCAAACAAGTGTGACGTTATTATTGCATAACAGCCAACCGCGAGACGCCGTTCTCCTCTCTTACATTGACACATGGCACTGCTTTAAGTGCAAATCTGAATATATGTGGGTTTTGGGGGGGGGGGGTCAGGGGGGGGTCAGATTTTGGAAGCGCGATATTGAAACTATTTATTGGCAATTAACAGAAATGGACAGAGTCACATCAAAGAACCACAGCACTGCTTTCATCCTACACAGGAATAATTATGGCAGAGATACTTTTACGTGCTTTACGTCACTTTACATAAATATATCCAACCATTCAAATCCTCATAGCCAATTAGGGTTTTTCTGTTTACCTATTGTAGTGCACACATGCCAGTTAATCTAATCTAATCTAATGTGAATACTGAGATTCCCATGTTATTGTGGTTATCTGAAGACATGAAGCAACGTGACGCGTGCGTAAAGCGTGTCCTAATGCGACCACCTGCTCCAGGGGCTTCTTGTGCGCCTCTCCTCAGATTTGAGTCGGAGAGGTTGGTTTGAGAGGTATGTTTGGATAGATTCCATTATTTAGCGCTGTAACATAGCGTGTCTGTGTAATTGTATTAGTTTAAATGGGATGATTGGCTCGTGCGTAAAGTTGTAACCGCGCCAACTTGTGCTGTAATTTGTTTGTTTTTGATTAAACTACAAAACAGGGAGTTAGTAACAATGTGCCTTTTGTTCTGGCAGGAATTTCTACATCGAATTACACACAGCAGTGCCTCTGATCCAATCCAACTATCTTCGCAGAGTAAGTATGACCTGCATGTGCGTAAAGGTGTGACCTCCTAAGTACCCGCTGCTGACTGAAGCTTCACGCGGCTAATGTCCTTTTTGAGACACAAACACTGAAAGAAAACAGAGTCCACTCGCGTCTCCTCCTGTGTCACACGTCAGTTTGAATAGATTTAGAGATGGTGCTGTTTTTCCTGCTGATATCCGTTCCGTTGCCTTTGCTTGGGCTCTTATCCAGCCCGCACAGCGACTCTGTCACCCCCTCCTCCATCTCCATATACTCCGCTTTGTCCCCTAAAGACGAGCCCGAGGGAGAGCCCTTAAACTTGCGCAAGAAATCTGGGAAATAGGGGCAAGCTGGGGGCATACTCTCTACCGCGGGAGCTTGGTCCTCATTGTCAGTCTCGCGGTGATAAAAGTAGTTAAAGTTGGAGACGATGACTGGGACTGGCAACGCTATGGTCAGGACTCCCGCGATTGCGCACAGAGACCCCACTATTTTTCCGCCTACAGTGATGGGCTTCATGTCCCCGTACCCCACAGTTGTCATTGTCACCACAGCCCACCAGAACGCGTCCGGGATGCTTGTAAACTGCGACGTGGGCTCGTCCGCTTCTGCGAAATAGACCGCGCTGGAGAAAAGGATAACTCCAATGACCAGGAAGAAAATGAGCAGCGCCAGTTCTCGCATGCTCGCGCGTAACGTGTGTCCAAGTATCTGCAAGCCTTTGGAGTGACGCGAGAGCTTGAAAATCCTGAACACTCTCACAAGTCTGATTATTCTAAGGATGGCGAAACTCATGGCCTGTTGCCCATTCCCTTGGTGTTGTGCTAGATCCGTGCCCAGTGTGATGAAATAAGGCAGAATGGAGACTATATCTATAGAGTTCATGATGTTTTTAAAGAACACGGGTTTGCTGGGGCACGCGAAGAAGCGCACGGTGATCTCAAAGGAGAACCAGATGATGCAGACCGTCTCCACGATGAAGAAGGGGTCATTGAATGGGGTGAAGCCAGAGTCGGGTTCGGATGAGTTCGTGCGCGGTTGTAAGTACTCCTTCTCGTCCCTGAACTCCGGGAGCGTCTCGAGGCAGAAAATGACAATGGAGATGACGATGACCAGCACCGACACGACTGCGATCCCCCGCGCGGGACTGGAGCTCTCCGGATACTCGAACAGAAGCCAGACCTGCCGCTTGAACTCGTCCTCTGGCAGCGGCTTCTCCTCCTCCTTCACGAAGCCCTCGTCCTCACGGAACTTGAGGATGGCCTCGTCCCCCAGCTCGTAGAATTTCACCTCCTCGGAGAAGATGTCAAAGGGCACGTTCACCGGTCGTTTCAAGCGCCCGCCAGACTGGTAGTAGTAGAGGATGGCGTCGAAGCTGGGTCTGTTCCGGTCGAAGAAGTACTCGTTACGCAGAGGGTCAAAGTAGCGGCTGCGCTTGTCCGGGTCCCCCAGCAGCGTGTCGGGGAACTGTGCGAGAGTTTTGAGCTGCGTCTCGAAGCGCAGCCCGGACACGTTGATGACCACGCGCTCGCAGCAGCAGGCGCAGTCCCCGTACACGCTCTCGTAGCCGGACTGCGGTCTCCGGTCCGACGCGCTGTCCTCCTCCTCCTCCATGTTGCACACGTAGCTGCGGAGTCTTGTGTTGTGCTTGCGCTCCTCCTCGTGTTCACGGTCCTCCCCCTCCTCCTCCCCCCCCTCCTCCTCCTCCTCCTCTCCCTCCTCCTCTTGGATCATGTCCTCCTCGGACCCAAGCAGAGCGAGCTCAGAGTGGTGCAGGTCCCCCCCTCCCAGTCTCCAGCCCCCGGTGCCTCGCTGCCTCCTCCTCGTCGCCTTGTGAGACTCCGAGGCGGCGCGCTGTGGGCGGTTGTTGTGGGGGGCGGAGGCGGCGGATCCTTCGCCGCTTTCAGAAGCCGCAACCTGTGCCGCCGTGCGCGAGTGCCGCTCGCGCTCTCTCTCCCGTGCACGCGCCTGTGCGTAGCCGCATGGCAGGTGGCTGTCCGCGCCGACCATCGCGAACTCCATGGTGCTGATGCTGAGAGGAGAGCTACAGCTGGAGACTGCCTGGTTACCAAGGCAACGCACACGCGGGAGGCAGCATCAGTGAGAGGGAGAAAACAGAGTGGATACACACAGGGAGATGGAGCTGTCCCATTGTTCTGACGTGAGGAGTGTGCATAAGACTTGTGCTAGAGGCGTGTGAGACCAGACCACCATGCCCAACACGACTGACCCCCCTTACGCATGAGAAGGTTATTCCATTGGTCCGTTTGTAATCCACAAAACGCAATCAGGAGAGCGCCACTTGCTGTCGGCGCTTTGAGTTCAGTTCCATTCTCACATCCGCGTAACGTACTCCAGACTGCTGCTAAACACAACCCCAGCCCGGATCCAACGCGTGCCAACCCCCGCGCGTAAAAGCCAAATTTGCAGTTGCAGAGGTTTTCTTTAATTTATAATCCAAACCAATCAGGCGTGAGGGAGGCCCGCACACCTCGGCCCCGGGCTCAGGCCTTTCATGACATCACTGGATCAGCAACAATAACATTACAAGTTATTCACACGCTCCGAATAGCACAGTGCGTCCTTCCCCGTCTCCTCAGCGCACATCAGGTGGTCCCCCAGTGCATCCAGGCTATTCCAAATGCGTAAATCCCCGTTGCCATTTTAAACATTAACTAGGAGGGGTGACAGTATCTTTGGCACTCCAGTCGGGTCCTTTCTCCTGACAGGGGAGGGAGAGAGAAAGACAAACCTGGTTAGAATCCATTCAGTATAAAGGCCTGCGTTTGTTTTTCAACGCCACCCACTAAAGTGGCACAAACTTCACCCTTAGCAACGCGTTTAATCACAAAACGGTAGTTGTAGCGATCAATACTGCTTGTGATACAACATAATGCAACTCCGGATTCGCTGTACTTACAGGTGGAAAGCTATGGAAGCCGCTAGAGCAGGGAGGAATGCACGCCGAGCCCCAACATTCTGCGTATCCAGGGACGAAGCAAGGGATGCACTCTCAAATCTGACGCACTTTCTCCCAGGCGAGCGAGCTAGAACGAGAAAGCGAGGGCATCTCTGTTCAGGGTAAATCCTTGGCTGTCTCGCGTCGTCTCGTCTGTGGATTCAACAGTGCCACCCCGGAGAATGCGTGCTGCAATCAGAACAGGTCGCTATGTGTGTGTGTGAGCGCGTGTGTGTGTGTGTGTATGTGTGTGTGTGTGTGCGTGTGTGTGTGTGTGTGTATGTGTGTGTATGAGTGTATGGAGGGGAGAGATGCCCAGCGTCAGGTGCGCTGCGTGTGCCAGTGGCGTGCAGAGAAGGTGATGGCGGGCGCTGGCGGCTGCAGGGGCGAAAGAGAATAAAAGTTAAATGTGTGTAAATAGCCTAAAGGGTGCGTGTACGTGCACGCCAGGCGCACCTACCCGCGGATTTACTCGCAATGGTGGGAGAAAGGAGTGTGTGGGGAAGGAGAGACAGTGTGGGTGACGCTGGAGCGGTGCTTTGGCGACACCCAGTGGAGAGAAAGGGACACTGCAGGCAGGAAGAGAGGCGCGCTGCAGCAGAGGGAAAGCTAAAGTCCTGATTTTAATACATCATGTAATAATCAACTCTGGAGAACGTGAAAACTGTTGAAATCCGTCTTGTACTTAAGTAAACGTATAGATAAAGCGTTTGTATGTACTTAAAACAGAGGTGACTAACTTTCAAACCACAAGATTGTCATGGTGTGGATATATATTTTTGGTACGTTTTATTTTGACATCAGTTTTCTGTTTTTGTTTTAGTCTGGCTTCCTGTTCTGTTCCCCAATTGATTGCCTGCCCCGTCTTTATGTGTTTTACCTGTGTCTCTCCGTGTCCATATGTACCTGTGCTCTACCCCTTTTGTTGCTGGTCCATTGCCTTTGTTCGCCTGTTTTCCTGGTTCCCGTGTTTCATTTGGATTTTTGAGTTCATCATTAAACCATTATGTTTACATTCCTGCTTTTTGGGTCCTCTTTTATCTCACCACACGAGAAAGACATTTTAACTATGTATCAAAATACTGTTATTAGTCCCACTGGGGAAATGAAATGTTTCCAGATATTTTTCTGCAGCCAAATGTGGCCCTTTTAACAGTTTTCTGGTAGAACACCAACTTGATCTTGATCTTATTATAGAGGGAAATAAGGACACAATTCAATTTAAGTTTAAAAAAGGAGGACCCAAAATACAATACTGTAATTTAATCATAAGAATCCAAAAACAAAACTCAACTGAATGTAAAATACTGAGGACGAACACAAGAACTGAGGCACAGTTTTCTGGTACAATGGACTGAGGACAAGAGGGAAATAGCACAGGGACTTGTCTGAGAGACACAAGTACACACCAGGGCGGGGCAGGCAATCAACAGAACAGGAAGTAAAACTCAAAAAGACACAGGAGAACAGGTAATACAACCATGAAAGACGCTTATCTAAGACAACACTTTTGTTTAGCTTATGTCTTGATTTGAGATGAAGTCGTTGGAGCCATTGTGTTGAATCGTCCATGTATCATCAGAGCCCTGTTGTCCCCATCAGAGCTTCTCGGCCACGGTCAGAGCTTCTCGGGCCCCGGTCAGAGCCTCAGAGGATCACTTTGATAATCAAAGTCTCTGAAGTGTGGCTCTCATGTGGACTCTCCTCCCTTTGTTCTGCAGGCTGCGGCGTTAGCTCTGATTAGAAGGCCGTGTGCTCTACAAAGATGCCTTTGTGATGGACCCACACACGACACACACAGACACGCACACGTACACACAGACACAGATAAATACATGAAAACACACACACACACACACACACACACACACACACACACACACCAGAGTCCACCTGCTGGAAACACTTGCTAATCCCCTGATCCCGCCTCATCAACACGACAGGGGACGGATTTTGATTTTAAATTTCATAAGTGTGACCTCTGTGTAACAGGACTCAGCTCGGCATGTTCAGGTCAAAGTATTCACACATGCAGCCGGTCCAGGGAAGTGGCCGCACTTTCTGGACTATAAGGCACACCTGTACATAAGCCGCACCACCTACAGTTGGAAAGAAAAACTATGTTAAAATTCCATTCAATGAATAAATGTATCTTCCTATATCACAACAGTAGGTAACTTAAAGTTGCATGTTTTTAAGTCTTACCGACCTAACATTATGATGAATTAAAGAGGACTGTTTTAAGCCAGGCCTTGAACATAGAGACTGTGTCTGCTTCCTTAACATGGATGGGGAGCTGATTCCACAGTAAAGGAGCTTGGACCTAAACGCTCTGCGGAACAACCAGACGTCTATATTGTTTTCATGTTGTAATGTAGCAGAGAAACGACTGTTTTAACTGTGACACAATAGGATTTAATGACCAGGTTTTAACAGCTTCATTTTGAATGGTAAAACTATCTGCATTAATAATGAATGTGTTTCACCGCAGCTCAGTTTCATTCATTTGTTTATTTGAACGGGGCAGTGTGTATTTAGAACAGACGCTGAAAAACTGACCACATTAGTCCATTTCTCAGGTCTCTGCTTCCTGTGGTTCAGAGAATAGACTATAAAGCAGCTCTTTGTCTCTCCATGGCCTCTCAAAGTACATAAGTGACATGCTAGTAGTCAGAATGTATTCAGAAAAAGATGAAAACCACTCGATTCAAGCCATTATCACCTAATTTTTTATCATTTTTAGCACTGTACATGCAAACTGTGAAAAGGCCAAGCAGTGGATCAGAGGAGGGGGGCACACCACATTTGATCCTGTTAAGCTGGCGTGTATTCAGCCGCTGCCACACGCTGGGGTCAGAGGGCAACAAGTGCCGATACACACACACACACACACACACACACACACACACACACACACACACACACACACACACACACACACACACACACACACACACACACACACACACACACACACACACACACACACACACACACACACACACACACACACACACACACACACACACACACACACACACACACACACACACCACACACACATGCACACACATACAGCAGAGGAGGCTCATGTGGGCACTCTGAGGGGAAGTAACATATGTGAAAAACACTTATGGAATGAGAATCCTATCAAAGCTGTTCAGAACGTTTCAGAACAGACGCACACATCTTTTACAATGAAAAATTTTAACTTTATTTAATGAACTCTCCAATCTTCACATGATTATACTTGTGTCTTTGTTATGTAAAGTTACAGTACAGATTTTAGTCTAGAGTGATTCCTCCTTTCATTGTGTGCTCCTCATTCCTACTGTTCGGTAATTGTTGATGCAACACTGACATTTCCCCACTGTTGGATGAATGAAGGATCTCTTAATCTTAATCTTAATCTTAGTGATTTGTTTCAATTTCCTGGGGGATAAACAGCAGATGACAAGATAAGAGAATCTTTATCAGTCCCACGGTGGGGAAATTTCAATGTTGCAGCGCAGACAGGACAGAAACAGAAGGAGAACATAACAGATACAGAGATTAGGAGCTGTATATCCAAACATACACACTGAAAAATATGTTGAATTCTTTAATGGGACAAAGCCATTTAGTATTTTTAACTGAAAGTTCAAGTAAAAAGAATCAAGATTATGTTGTTATTTTAAAAATATAAAACCAAAAGTTGTGCTTGCGTAAGTATTCATGCAGCAGGAGTTAGTAGTCTGTAGAGCTCCCTTTAGCTGCAGACAGTTTTTAGGGCCTGACTCTACAAAATATGCACATTCCTCAAAACAACTCAATCTTCTTACTTCTAAAATAGCACATTTTACATTCTAATAAACTGAAGAATTTTCAATGTAGCACAACTTTGATATTGGATACTATCAAATTCAATTCAATGTATTCAATTCAAACACAGGAAAGGCAATGCCATTGGTTCATGAGGGACAGTGACCAATGTCCAAAATGAAGACATAGGACGGCACTCTCGCTTCTCAGCAAGAAGGTTCTGGATTCAAATCCCGGTCAGAACAGGGCCTTTCTGAGTGGAGTTTGCATGTTCTCCTCGTGTCTGTGTAGGTTTCCTATGGGTGCTCTGGTTTCCCCTACCACTAAAAACATACACAATAGGTCTTAATGTAATGAGTGAGTGAATGGATGGTGTTTGGTCAGAGGTTTTGATGCACCAGTGTGTTCAGCGACTCCCTTCCGTCATTGCCATATGTGGAGAGAGTTGAAAACTGAACTCTGAACCATTGTAAAGTGCTTTGAGTAAACTTGGTCTGTAAAATGTGCTATATAGATAAACATTACTTACTTACTAGATATAATTCTTACTTTTAAAATAACAAACTTTATTCTTCTATTAAAAACTCTGATAAACCGAGGAATATTTCATTTTAGCTGAACTGTGACTGTTAGAAACCTGTGCTTCATCTCCATCAATCATCGTCCAAAGTCGCTCCCTGTGGACTCTGCTGCCATCTTTCTGTCGGACTCTGCTGTTACGGCTCCAGGCCCAAAAACAAGGACAAGTTCCAAAATCTGCCTCCACAACAGTTTTCACTCCAAGAACAATGACAAGAGCACTTAGGCTGCGGTCATAAACACAACCTAAAGCCCTGTTAAAGTTAAAGCGGACCTGGGCCCAGAACAAGATTAGATCTGGGCTGTAGGTGCCGTGTGGCCGCGGCACGGTGGAGAGATGTGGTCCAGGGCACGGTTGTGATGTGGTGGGGCGTGGGGGGTATTGAGCATCACACAGGGCTGGACTGGGACCAAAAACGGCCCATGCATTTTTGTCTTCTGGGCGGCCCAAGCGTTATTTTGTCCCGTTTTTTATGGTTATTTATGCGGTATACAGAGGCCCATACTGTAGAGGTGCCGGGTGTATGCAGTTTCAACAATTAAAATAAAGTGCAATGGTCAACCTTACGAGAGAGTAACAAACATGTCACTACTAAGAGTGAGGGGGATGGCCACCGACCAAAACATTTTTTTTGTTAAGTCTGAAATGCATGTCAGCCAATAGCTGTCATTAAATCTGGGCACAACCAACATTAAGTGTTAATGCAACGGAAAATGTAGGTACCCCAGCTTTAATTTAGCGAGTTTAGCAGAAGGGTAATAGCTCGCTTGATCTAGATTTTCAGTATGAATACAGGCCGTGAAAGAGGAGCCTCATGATCCTTCTGACTTTTTGGGTTTTAAGCAGGAGGTGTCAGAAAAGTTACCACAGGGATAACTGGCTTGTGGCGGTCAAGCGTTCATAGCCAGGAAGAGAAACGGAAACTTCACTTGGATCTCGAGGTGGTCGTTAACAGTCGTTAGTATTAGCGCCACCATCTGGACCGAGAGTTATACTACACCGCCATTGGACTGGCACGTTGAAAAAAATGAACCCTTGTGACTGCAGGCCGTCCTCATACCAATGTGGCGCTCCGTGGGTTAGGAGGGTTGTGTCATGATGTAGACTTTTAGATTATTTTTACCTGGTTTTATTTTGCTTTATAGTTGTTCTCTGATAGTTTGCTTCCAGTCTCCTGTTGATTGTTTGGATCGCCCTTTTATGTTTCACCTGTGTGTATTTATTCTCTGTGCTTTTCCCACTTGTTCGTCCATTGTCAATACTACATTTCTTCCTGGCTTATTTTCAGTTCTGGATTTTTGTGTTTTTTGAATGCCTCAGATTTGTTTTGATTAAAATATACATTATGTTCAGCCCTGCATTGTGGGTTCCTTTTTTCATATCACCTTTTTTCAAGACCAATTATTGCTTCAGCATTTGCTTCATTCATTCCCTTTTCAAACTGGCTTTCTTTTTTTGTTCTGTGAAATTGCTTAATAAACATTTTGTAATAAACATTTTGATCAAATAAATATTGCGTCAGAAACACATTTGATTTATGTCTTCAATACGTGTCTGTTCATTTTATTGTAGTTTTTTTCATGCTAACAAAACCGTTACTTTTAGCTCTTGCTTTATAGTCTGTTTGTGTTACTTATGCAAAAACATATTACATGGACACAGATCACGATGGTCTAGTTTCCAAAGGTGTGTTGATGGAAGCTCCTGATCGCATCGACACAGGTTTTCCTCTCGCTGACAGCTGTGTGTAGGAGGAGAAAAGTCTTTTCTGAATCAAAACAAAAGGAAAAGGATATACGGCCAAGGTCTGCTGGATTAAAGGCTTTCAACCAGAAAAGTATATAAGAGTCGTCGTTCTGGAGTTAACACAAGCAAACGCAGAGCAGGCTGCAGTGAGAGCATCACACACACATACAGGTACGTTTACACACACATACAGGTACTGTACGTTTACACACATACAGGTACGTTTACACACACATACAGGTACGTTTACACACATAGAGTTACGTTTACACACATAGAGTTACGTTTACACACATAGAGGTACGTTTACACACATACAGGTACGTTTACACACACATACAGGTACGTTTACACACATACAGGTACGTTTACACACATACAGGTACGTTTACACACACATACAGGTACGTTTACACACACATACAGGTACGTTTACACACATACAGGTACGTTTACACACATACAGGTACAGGTACGTTTACACACACATACAGGTACGTTTACACACACACATACAGGTACGTTTACACACATATAGGTACGTTTACACACACATATAGGTACGTTTACGCACACGTACAGGTACGTATACACAGCGAGAGCAAGCACACACACAGGTACAGGTACTTACACACACAGGAACATTTACACAGCGAGAGTAAGCACACACACACACACACACACACACACACACAGGTAGGTTTACGCACGCAATACTGAAGCTGATGGTTGACACTCTGACACAATTTGGGAAAAAAGTATTATTTATAAAGTAATATTTTATCTTGGGCAATTTTTTATAGATGGGATAATATTGGCCAGTGACTTAACCAGGTAGAAACATTTTATTCAATTCAATGTGATTTGGTTTAAATCTCCCTCCCCTCCCTACAATTGGTCAAAATGAGATTCTTCCACAGAGTTGAGCAACTGTACCCTAGCGATAGAGGAGCTCAGTCACACAGGAGGAGCTTGGAGTAGAGCCGCTGCTCCTCCACATCGAGAGGAGCCAGTTGTGGTGGCTCATCTGTTCCGGAAGCCTCCCTGGGGAGGTTTTCTGTACATGTCCCACCAGGAGGAGACCAGGGGAAGACCCAGGAAACAGAGGGACTGTGTTTTTCAGCTGGGGACGCCTCAGGATTCCCCCAGATGAGCTGGAGGAAGTGTGTGTGGCGAGGCAAGTCTGTGTCTCTGCCCAGACTGATGCCCCCGCAACCCGGCAACAGATGAAGTGGAAGAAACAGGATGGATGGATGGATGGATAATTTGATTTAAATGTTAGGTACCCCGGATTTAAGTCCAGCCTCATTTAGTAGAAAGATATCTAAAGAAATAATACTTGGCTATGAGATTAGACAAGATGAACCTTTATTTGTCCCTCAGAGGTCTTAGTTTCAGATTTCAGCAGAATAGAAGGAGAGACTCCTGAATCTCTCTTACAGGGATCAATAAAGTATCAATCAATCTATCTATCTATCTATGTGATCGAACACAGTCACAATTCTTCTATTCAGTTTACAGTTTACCCCAGACCTGATGCTGTCCAACATTTTGTCAGCAGACAACACAGTTGCGTCAGGCAGAAGATGCAGCTAGTTTTCACAGTGACGGTGGCGCTGGTTGCCGTGGTGACGACAGTGACGATGATGACAATGGTGGGGGCGGAGTGTGGCGGGAACCGTCACTGTCACAAGGTGACCAGGAACATCACTGTCACGGCCTGCGGCGTCAGCCAAAATGTGGAAACGACAGTGTGTGAAGGGAACTGCTACAACCAGGTACTGTCAAGAACCAACCACAACTGACCACAACTGACTACAACTGACTGTTAAGGATATCTATTAAGGCCATGTCAAGTCTGCTGCCTCAGTACTTGGCTGACTACCGAGTTCCCAGGAGTGCTGGAGCCCATAACCTGAGGTCTCAGAGCGCCATGCACCATTTGCATGGAATCTGCTGCAAGCAAAACTTGGATTCAAGGAACTGACTTCCCTATAGACGGTTGAATGCTTTAGATGAACAGTCAGCACATCGTAGTTGTTTTATATGAAATATGTAAATGTATGTTGAATGTGTTGCTTCTTGTCCAGGATAGTCTAGTCTCAGTGAGGTTCGCCGCCTGGTTCAAGAAAGGTTAAATAATAAAAAAGAAAACATTAAAAGAATGCAAAAACAAGAAGACATCATGACTTACTGAGCGCTCCATAAACAAAATCCAGCCCACTATCCCTCAGGAGACAAGTCTTTTTTAAACCCTTAGCCCTTAGACTACACAACAGGTAAACGATTGTAAGATTCAGATGACTCATTTACAGACCGCCCCAGTGTGAATGTGTCTCCCCATTCCCAATCCCATCCACTAAGCCAAGGCCACATAGTATAGGACAACACAACAGTATTTTGCAAACTACTATGAGAAAGTCCTGTGGTTGCCAAACCATGCGCTGTATATGGTGCGAGCAGGAAGTGCCTCAGGTCGGCCAGTGGACCACAGGCACACTCCCTTCGTTGGTCCAGGGAGAGGGAGCGCAACTGGTGCTCCGTCACACTGACCATGACTGACCCTCACTGACCATGACTGACCATGACTGACCCTCACTGACCATGACTGACCATGACTGACCATGACTGACCCTCACTGACCATGACTGACCATGAGGTACTGTGGTCTATGAGCTTTTTCCCACTGCAGCCTGGCGTTTTTGGACTGGAGATATTGAGAAAAGTTGGCATGTTGTTCGGACCTGAGTTAAAGAGGGACAACTGTAGACTTACAGTTACTGGCGTAACTCTTACTAGGACGATGATAAATAAACAATAGTAATGATGTGTTGCTCCTGCAGGACACAGTACAACCGAAACCTGTGAAGCCTATGAAGCAGAAGGTGTGTGTAGGACACTGGGAGGTGGAGAAGAAGGAGTTCAAAAACTGTTTTGAAGCCGTGCCCATCTGGAGGGCGCACAACTGTTCCTGCGGGTCCTGTCTGACCCAGAAGTGGATCTGTGAGGGCCATGACCCCTGCTCATTCTGACCCAGAACCTGCAGACGTCTGACCACACAATAAACAAAACTGATCAAACTGCTGCACAGCGATCCTCTTCATATCGATCATAATTACTCTTTTATTTGTACAAGTCAGTCAAAAATACTGGCATTTATTTATTGTTAACAAACATTTATTGTTGAAACAAACATCTCAAAACTCCATTCACTCAAATGCTTCATATCACAAGAAAAATGCTCAAAGGTCAGATCTCCACAAAGCGAGTAACATAAGGAGACCAAATACTTTAGATTTAGCATGAATGGAAGGTGGAGCTGAAGTTGGCCGTTTGACATTGGGAAGTTTTTCTCTCTACACAGTTCTTCCATTTCAAAATAACTTTAAAAATGCAAATTAACTACAAATGTGCAAGTCTTTTTTGATAAATCTTCAGATAATTATTTATTAGGAATTTCTTGCACTAATACACCCCTTCTGTCTACTTACTCCACTTTCAAACTTTTGACCCTGACGTCATGGACAGAACTGTTTTCCTAAACATTGTTTTGGGAATATCATGTTAGATGTATTAAAGCTGGATCAATTATCCAGTTTACTACCACTACAGGGAAGTGTTGCTCAATCTAGGTTATCTCACACTCCATTTGTCATGTTTGTCGTTATACTTTTTACTAGATTATTATGATAAGGGTTAGGGGAAGCATTTACTCTGCATCCTATGTCTACAGGGGAGTCTGTTTCAGGGGCATTTGGTCAAATTTGATTTACAGAAAGAAATGAGTAAACTCTTCGAATATTAATTCTGTCTGTGTCACCTCCTGGATCGTAAAGTGACCAGTCCCTTTGTGGTGTGTGTGCAGTTTTGTGCTGAGGTCGGTCAGAGCCCTCTCTCTCACAGACACCGAGATGAAGACTCATGGATGCTGGCCTTTCATCCGTTCCAGTCCAATAACTTTGCCTCTACTGGAATACAGCCCTCACCTCAGACACCCCCAGGTTAGGACAAGTAAAATTTAAAACCCGTCTTCTAATATAGAAAGCCATAAATGGCTTGGCTGCTTCTTACCTCCAAGACACATGTGTCATACCAACCAAACTGAACACTGCACTCGCAAAACGCCAGATGTCAGGTGGTTCCTAAGGTCTCAAAAAGCACTGTCAGCGGCAGAGCATTTAGCTACCAAGCTCCTTTACTTGAGCACTATCCTCTCCTCCTTTGTCTGTATGCATTATTAGGATTTTGACTATAGTATGTTCATTGCTATTCACCCGTTGTCCCATTGTCTGTTTCATGACATGACAATGAGACCCCTTAACCTGGCCCCCTCCGTCTGTATATGCCTATGTGTTCCATATTTTTTGTGTTTTAACTGTAGCAGTGTTTTTGTTAAGTCCTCTGAGAAAACTACTGTTGTGATTAAGGGCTATACAAGAATACACTGAATTGAATTGAATGCTGGACCACAAAAACAAATATAAAACATGTATTACAGGGGTGTGCCACTTTCTCAGGATTCATATGAACCAACTCTGAAGAGCACAGGGACTGGCCTCCTGCTGGGATTCTGAGGAGCACAGGGACTGGCCTCCTGCTGGTCCCAGAGTCAGGACTGTAAGAAAGTCATCTTTATATGTTTGGTTATTAAACTTGTGCTTCATGAGTCAAACTGGTCAGAAATCTGCAGAACTGGGACAAACCCATGTCTGTGGATGAACCTGCTAGGACTGTCCCAGGTAACTCTGACTGTAACTGTGTCATGGTGCAGTCAGCTGTAAATATAGGACAGTGTTAAAATGGGGCATGTGAGAAAACTGCAATCTTTCTTCAGTCGCACTGCTCCGAGATCGGAGCGTGAGGGACTGTGTGAGGGCTCACCCCGCACCCCCTCACACTGAAGGCTCAGGGCTGACCCCATCCTCACACTGGGAACTCAGGGCTGACCCTATCCTCACAGACTCCAGCAGGTGGGTGTTACCTGCTGGAGTCTGTGAGGTTGAGTGATTTATATTATCTACAGTTAGCCCAAAGTTGCCAAAATTATTATTATCATCATAATAATTGATATGGTTATTTACTCAAATTTAAATAAATATGTATGTCGGGCGGCACGGTGGCTGAGTGGATAGCACTCTCGCCTCTCAGCAAGAAGGTCCTGGGTTCGAATCCCGGTCGGACCAGGGCCTTTCTGAGTGGAGTTTGCATGTTCTCCCCGTGTCTGCGTAGGTTTCCTCCGGGTACTCCGGTTTCCCCTACCACTAAAAATATGTCCAATAGTTCTGGCATGCGCCTCCTGTACTGGCGACCCCGCTCCCATCTCTGTCTGGAGTGAGAGGTGCAAATGCCCAAAATTAACAATTGTAAACCGCTTTGAGACTCAAATCTGCAGTGAAAAGGCGGTATATAAATAAAAACTTACTTACTTACTTACTATGTGGCAAAGTGCCCAAAATAAAATATAAAGCGCTCTAAGGCGCACAGGTTCGTAAATCATAAAGAGGCAGACAGACATTAAGTTTACTTTGATTTATTAAGTTGTGATAGTTTTCTCTTTAGGTTTCACATGTTGTCACATTTCCTGTCGCAAAGGACTCAGGGGTACAGGTGAACAACACACAACAGAAACATACAACATGGTGAGAAACGAGAGACAGCAGGAGAAACAGCGGTGGGCCGCGGTGTGGCCAGTCCTCAGCCTACGAATTAAAGTAGAGTTAAATTATCATAACCACAATGCTGTCAGTGTGTGCAGCTAAGACCTACATTTCCACAGCCAACACTCAGCGCGCACGCTTGACGAGTAGCGGTTTACAGGCCCAGACCAACAGCAATGAGGGCGGCCAGACACCAAAGCGACTGGACAGTGTGGCCGTGCACGAGGACTCGCGGGGCACAATGCCACACCGCGGCACTACAACAACGATTCAACATTAGTGGCTGAATCTTACAATTATTAGAATTGACACTAAAACTACTACCTGGAGCAGGAGGAGGGCTGGCGCGACGACACACACACACAGGAGACGGAAGTGCAGAGGTAAACAATAGATGTAAATCTATGCTATTTATACTGCCCGTATGCGCCATCTGGTGGACACAAATATGGTGGCCAGGTCCAGCTTGCCACATGTATTTGTTTTGTGTGGTAGTCCTGTTACCCTTTTGTTAGTTGTGTCAGATCAGTTTGTTCATGATTTCTATGCCTTGTGTGAGTGTTGTTTTCCTTCTTCAGTTTTGTTGAGTTGCCTTGTGTGTGAACTGTGCTATACAATTAAACTTGGCTTGCATACTTTTAACCTGCTTTGGATTAATGCAGTACAATGACATCCTCTTTGAGACTTCACAATAGGAAAAGGAACAATGCACAATAGTTAAACCAAAAGAATAATAATGTAACTTTTATTTTAACAATGCGATAGAAAACAGAACAATAACAGAACTGAGAGAGGCCAAATTTCCATTCTTTGCCCTTTATGAAAATGTTTCAGCCACAAACAAGTAAATCAGAGCCACCTGTATTTAGTCTAGTCTCAGGGTAATGACGGCTGTTCTATGAGGACTTCAGAGCTGTGGTCAGGGTGTAGTGGTTACTAAAAGGCATCATGGAGGCCAAGGAGCACACACTGCAGAGGTAGGGTATAGATGTGGAAAAGTTTAAAGCAAAGTGAATACCAACATTTCACAGATTACTGTTTAATCATCTGGGAATGCAAAGAGTATGGCACAACTGCATCTATTCATCTATTGTTTACCTGTCTCATGACAAGACTCTATTTACTAATACTTTGCCTCTGTTCATACACTACGGATGAGAATGAGCTTGTAGCCATGATGTCGTCCTTTGTTTATTCCTTTTTATTTCTTCTTTGTTCTGTCTCTTCTTTCTGCTGAAACTTTAGCGAATTCACCACAAACTCTAAGACTCTGCTTCCCTTTTATCGCTGCATCATTGAAAGTTTGTTTGTTGGTTCTGTGACAGTGTGGTTCAGCAACAACACAGAGAGAGAGAGAGAGACCAGAGAGATCAAAGCTAGAGACTAAAGAGAGACCAGGGAGAGAGCTGAGAGAGAGACCGGAGAGAAAGACCCGAGGGAGAGACCAGAGAGACCATCGCGAGCTCAGAGAGAGATGCTCCGCTCTGAAAGAGGCTCTTGGAAAAGCCATGTTCCAGCTTCTTCCCACTGGCAGAAGATAACATTGGCTGCAGGACACTTGGATATGCTAAGATGCTAACAGCTTCTTTCAGCCGTTATCGGTCTGAACAAAGCACTTTAATGATCTTGTATTGTTTGTTTTTTGTACTTTTTAGCTTGTTTTATTGATGTACTGGGGACTCTTGCACATGTATTCCAAGATCGTTTTACTGCAAATGATAAACAATCTGTCCGGTCTGAACAACTAAGTAAGTAATCTTTATTTATATACTACTTTTCACAGACCAGAGTCACAAAGCGGTTTACAATTGTTATTTTTTGGGCATTTGTCCGCTCACTCACAATAACATTTATTGTGTAATGTCCCTGTTGCTCACTTCTATCTCGGCACACAGCGGTTTATGTGCTGGCCATGTCCGCTCCTGTGTCCAGAGACCCACCGATGCAGGAGGCTCTGATGTCAGTGGTCATGATTCAGGACATTCCACATTCAAAGACATTAATGGACATACTGTAGGCCATCTGCTCCTTATGGACCAATGTCTGTTTTTCATCATTGCATGTTTTAACTGTTTGATTCTGGGCCTGCCCACAAATGTCCTGCGGGGGGCGCTGTCTTCAGGAGGCGTAATCGTTGCGCATGATGTGCCCGCCCTCCACCTCCACCTGCTCGTACAGCCACTTGCGGTCGCAGCGACACTCCACGCCGCACTTCCGCGAGCTGCAGTCGGGACAGGGAAAGAAGCAGCCCATGCAGTCCCCGTCCAGGCAGTCGCACAGGTCCTTCCCGTTGCTCAGGAGGCGTCCCTGGGAGTCGTACACTTTGCTCTTGGCGTTCAGGGACTGTCTGCAAAGGAAGGGGAAGGGGACAGTCCACACACAGGCTTTTAGAGTCGTTTCTTCAAGATGCAGGAGGCTATAAACACAGTGATGATCCAGGACACTCCAGATTCAATATTTATGGACATTGGTCTGTGTTTTAAGATAAGATGTGCTTTATTTATCTCACACAGGAGAAATTTACAATTTTTACCATGTATTTCCTGTGTTTGAACTGTTTGATTCTCTGATCTGTGTTGACGAATCGACATCTTTGTACAGCCCCCCGAGAAGGGCAATACAAAAATACAATACAATACAAAAATACATTGAACCAGTTCAAACACAGGAAATGGACTGATAACATAGAGCCATTGGTCCATAAGGGGCAGAGACCAATGTCCATAAATGTTGTTAAAAAAGCCATACCCAATTTATTTTCTAATGAGTTAATAAAAATGCGTATTACTACATACAAGTTGTATTAAAATCCGTAATTTAATTGAAAACTTGAGCTTATTGATTCAGCTTGTGTATGAATTCAGGCCATAAAAAGTGCTGAGTAGAGACTTAGCGTGACGCCCGCTCTCCTCCACTCAGCGTTGTTACGAACAGGCCGTCTCCTCTAGCCTCTACAGCGCAGATAGTCTATGAGGTTAACAAGAGCAGCATGGAGGCAGAAAGAGGCTAACTCCTCTGGCTGTAACGGCAGACACAGCAAAGCAGCCCAACGAAGCAACAGTGAGGAAGAGAAGAGGGAACTAAAGCGGAAAAAATATCAAAGAAGAAATCAAGCCCGGGTGTTAGCTTACATTGTATCCTCTGGTGAGACCTGCGGGAGCGGGACCGCCTCGGACTACATTTGGACGCTGATTGCAAAATTATATATAACTGAAAGATTACCGCTAGTTAGCGGTAATCTTTCAGTTGTATATTTTGTTAGCAGTGCGTTGCTTTTGTACCATTTCATCAGTGATTGTTGTACAGTTGCGCTAATGCTAATGTTTTCACATGTATCAGATCGCAAATAAAACTAGATGGCTTTGTGGTAGGAGAACATAGGGGAAATGAGAAGACCGTGAGTGAGTTGGGGGGCGGTGCTAAACATTCAAACTGAAAAAAACCTTGCAGAAACGGTTATAGCTCCTTTAAATGTCTTTGATCATCACCACTGGTAATTTAGAGATCAGCAATATATTTCTCATTTAATCGTCAAAAAAAATATCCCACCAAAAGGTTTCTTTAGATTTTTTTTTTCACATATATGGTCCGAATGTTTTCCTTACCTTTTGCATTATTATGGAATGTACAAATATGCCCCTGGACATTCTTTTGTTTTGTTTTTTTGGAGGTTATTCATTAAATTATATTGGTAAAAGCAAATGGTAATAACTAAATTTTTCACTCACCTATCTGCCACCTGCTTGCGCCCGCCTCGCCCCTGTCACAAAAACAAGCACTAAATGTAACTAAACATTACATTTAAACTAACCTTCTTATAAATAGTCACAGGACATACTCACTGTAATGATGATATAAATAAAAACACATATTTGGACCGGTACCCAGAAAACAGAACATTTAGACGGATGGGGTGGGGGGGGGCGGTCCATATATTAGTGTGGATGGAGCCAAAAACAACTCCAGGACTGTTTTTGACAAAGTATCAATGTTGTAAGATGTTTGAAACCACAACAAGAGAATTCACTTTCATATGTATGAGACAGAAATGCCTGCCCCACCACCACTATCACTATTGTTAACTTTTAACAGTTAGTATTTATTTGTTTGCGAATGTGTTTCTTCTGATGGATGCCTATGGGGTGAATAAAGTATCTATCTACCTACTTATCTATCTAACATCTGAGTAGGATATGTTAAAAGGCACACACCCGTGCCCCCCCTCTCTTCTCCCTGCGGGGATCAGGGACCCTCACAGTCTGGTTGCTCGGAGCCGCAGGAGCCTCTTTTGAGGCTGGACCTCTTTTGCGGAGTTCAATCTGCAAAAGGAAGCAGAGTAGTAGTACAGATATTCACAAGAAATTATTATTATTGCATGCATGTGTGTACCTGTGACCCTCCTAGTCCATGTGTGTATAGCATGTCTGTATGTGTACCTGTGACCCTCCTAGTCCATGTGTGTAGCTGTGGTGACCCTCCTAGTCCGTGTGTGCGTGTGTGTGTGCGTGCGTGTGTGTACCTGTGACCCTCCCAGTCCATGCGTGTAGAGTGTGGGTACAGCGTCCTCCCTCAGGAACTGTTTCCCGTTGTAGTCCCTGAAGCAGTCGGCTCTGAAGTGCTCTGAACACAAGCAGGTGTTCGGCGTCGGCACGAAGCTCTTCAGACCGAGACTCGTCACCCATTTACTAGACAGCTGCGGCTTACTGAGCGGAAACCTGCGCCACAACAAAAGGCAATGTATGCTACTCAATCAAAGTGGTGTGCTGCAGACATGGCCAGTCAGCTCTCAGTATGTTAAAGATAACAAGAAGATGCTGTGGTCTGATTGGTTCACAGAATATGGTTTAAACAAAATGTATCTATGAACAAACCTCAGGTACTTCAGCTTTAATGTGGTTATCTTTCTTCTTGAATGTCTTCCTCTTATTAGAAAACATGTTAAATGTATCGTAGATAGATAGCTATTTGACCTAGCAGGTGGACAACTGCAAGACTCTACGCAGACTCTGTGTATCCATGTTATGACTAGGATATGCTGAGTGTCTGTGAATGACACGTGTGTCTTTCAAAGTGTGACGTAACAATGACTATATACAGTTAATCATGCCCTGCCTTTGTTTTGTCTGAAAAAACCTGAAAGAACTGAGACAACTGAGAAAACTGCTCTGTCTGAATCAACTGCCATTTTTGTGAATGAACAACCACGCCATGATGCACAAATGTTGTAAACTTGTAAGGAAAGGCCCTGAGAGTCCCTATCTGATGCTTTGGGCTAGGAGCTTGGCTGAGAGGGGAGTAGAGCTGCAACTAACGATTATTTTGCAATCGATTAATCTATCGATTATTTTTACGATTAATCGAGTAATCGCTTGGCTGTGAATTGTGTAGAAATGTTTTATTTTTTCATCACAAAAAGCTAAAGTGGCAACACTCGAGGACGTATTGATGGCGTAAACTTAAAGTAAATGTTTGTAACAGGCTCTTTGTGCTAATTCTGCTATCTGATTTGATGAGACAGACAGATATTCATGAAATTATAAAAACAAAGTCGGTTTTAATCAAAAAATACTACATTTTCATGTCATTTTTGCTCTGTTTGAGTCCGTGTGAACCAGAAAACGATTAATCGATTACTAAAATAGTTGTCGACTATTTCAATAATCGATTATCTGTCGATTAATCGATTAGTTGTTTCAGCCCTAGAGGGGAGGGTCATCTCCTTTTAGTGTATCTGTCCATCCATTTTCTTCCCTTTAATCCATTTCTGGGTCAGGGGGGTGGCAGTCAGAGATGCCACCCAAGTCTCATAGCACCAGCCCCTCACTGACCCTCTGCAGGTGGTGAGTCCACAGGAGGGCGGCTGCTCTCTGAGTGTGAGCATAGCCTTGATTTTTTCAGCGGGCGCTTTTGGGCAAAGTGGGGTTAAGTGTCTTGCCCAAGGACACAACGACAGCAGTCATCAGTGGGAGTCGGTGGAGAAGGTGCAGAGGTGGGAATTGAACCCACGACCTTCTGGCCTTAAGGCCAATGCTCTACCAACTGATTGTTTGGGGCTGTCTGGGCTAACTTAGCTGATATACATTTTTACATAGGACAAAAAATGCATTCATTTGAAAACTAGTAATAGAAGTAGTGTGTTTTTCTTTCCGTTTTAAAAGTTAAGTACCCCAGCTTTACAATAGAGAACGTACTCTCATTTACCCATTTTCCCACGGGGAGAACATATGAACTCCACTCTGAAAGACCCCGTTCTGGCTGGGATTCGAACCCAGGACCACTATAGCTAAGAAGCGAGTGCTAACCATTCTGCCTCTTTTTCATAAAAATAATGTAATAATGGTAACAACAATAAGAAGACATGAGGTCCACGGAACCCACCGGTAAAAGCGGATATCTGATCCTTTGACGAACTTGTTGTTGCAGCCGATCGCGGCACAGATCACGGGCATGATGGATCTGATCCCGGAGCAGTTTACAAACACCTGGAAACCTCTCTAACCTGTAATCTACAGACTGAAGATCACAGGCGGTTAGCGGCTACATCCACTGACAAAGCCGTTATAATAATAGTTCTATGGACAAAACCCACAGCAACACGAGCAGCAACCCTTCCTGTTTATGCTTCTAACTCTGCAGAAATGGGGTTGAGTTTCCCACCGGCGCCCCCTGGTGGCGAGGGAGGCGTAATACATTCGTCCCACAGTAGGGAAACTTCGAGGTGGCAGTGCACAGGACAGTAGTAAGAGCACAGCGGCACGGTGGCTTAGTCTTAGTGGATAGCACTCTCGCCTCTCAGCAAGAAGGTCCTGGGTTCGAATCCTCTGGAGGAGCCCTCTGCACTGGGAGGGTGGTCGGCATGGCTGTGGGGGTCGGACTCTTGGACCTGGTGGGCAAGCCCGGATTAACCATACGGGCAACTGGGCAATTGCCCAGGGGCCCTCCGTGGGCGGCCCATCTAAAGGGCCTTGCTGTCTGGGCCCAGGGCCCACGGAGGGCCGTCATGGGCGGCCCATCTAAAGGGCCCAGACAGCAAGGGCACGAGCAAAATACTGTTACGGGGAATTTACACAGTAGGCGTAAACAGCACGTACGCGTTTACTGCGCGCTCTCTGCGCGTAACATTTTTTTGGAGTATCTACACTGACCGTGCGCGCAGGTCCGCGTCTTCTGATGCTCTCCCTGTGTAGTCTATGGAGCAGTGTAGAGGACAGTACGGGCCAGAGGACTGATGTAGAGCAACACAAATCACATGCATGTGTTTGTCCTCATGGTCTCTGTGCTGGTTTGGCCAGACGCGAGACTTTATAAAAGAAAAAAAAAACGATGTCCAGAATCACTGTAAAACCTGCTGCTCCTCCTGCTGATGTTTAGACACAAGTCCTGTGTGTGTGCAGATGTGATCTAAAGCCAAGGGCCGCTAGAAAAATCATGTTTTACATGAGATTTTAATGGGAGACGCGTTGGTGCGCGCACAAAATTAGAAATCCATCCTAAATTAGAGCGCAGCAGATTTCTAATTTTGTTAGGGCACCAACGCGTCTCCCATTAAAATCTCATGTAAAACATGATTTTTCTAGCGGCCCTTGGCTTTAGATCACATCTGCACACACACAGGACTTGTGTCTAAACATCAGCAGGAGGAGCAGCAGGTTTTACAGTGATTCTGGACATCGTTTTTTTTTTCTTTCACATGTGTGTGACCTCTTTGTGGTTTTGTTTGAGAGGGACTGTGACGATTGTGATGTGCGTGTAAGAGATGCTAAACTGAGCTCCACTTATCCAACAGATCTGGATAGTTCCTTGTCAGATGAACTTATTCAGTTCAAGCACTTTGTGCAGTATGAAACTTCACCTGTACAGCAGCTGCAAGCTCTTGACAGACATGGACTTAAGACAACATTTCCGAATGTTTATGTTGCACTAAGACTGTTTTTAACCTTACCTGTATCTAACTGTGAGGGTGAGAGGTCATTTTCTGTTTTGAAACGAGTTAAAAATGAGCTGAGGACCACAATGTCTCAGACACGGCTCTCTGCACTTTCTCTCTTAGCCATTGAACATGAACTTGTTAGTGGCCTTGATTTCGAAGAGATCATACATCAGTTTGCACAGTCAAAGTCCAGAAAAAAGCCAGTATAAGATGCCAAATGAAAGCAAACATGCACTTCCTCATTATTTAGGATTAAAATTTTGTGTTTTGCCAGATTATATACCATTTATTTTATCTCGTCTTCTTCAGAGAAATTGTATTGTGTAGTGTATTTATGTAGCACTAAAATGTTTGACTGGTTAATTGTGCTATAGCATGTTGTTATATTTTAAAACAAGTTCAATGAGCAGAGGACCAAAATGTTGCTTGATCTGTTGTCTGTGGTCTTCTGTGATAGCTCTATCTATTCCATACATTTCTATTGGGAATAAGTGTTGTTAAATAAACAATGGTTTAAAAGTGGTTGCTTATCTATTCATTTTTTGTGAAAATGGAGGATACTTCCTTCCCTCTCAATGTAGTGGGTCAATGTTACCAGATTATACAGATGCTGATGTGTTTTGTTTTCATAGCATCATATGTGAGTGAATGTCTTTGATAGGGGACATAGTAGTGCATTCGTAGTTCTATGAGCTTTAAATATTTGTAAATGAAAATACACCTAATGACAGTTAGGATTTGAAGTATTGAGTATTTTTACTGTATATTACAGTAATATATCCTATATATGACCATATTATGGTGATCCTGGGGTCGTGATGATGGGGCCCTTGAATATTGTTGCCCAGGGTACAACAAAGTGTTAATCTGGCCCTGCTGGTGGGGGCCTGGGGCCTCGGTTTCGGGTCTCCTCTAGATCCTGTGTCGTCCCCTGTGGCTACAGGCGGCTCTCTGCTCCTGGTGCAGACGGCTCCTAGGATGACGCTTTTTCAACTGGTTGCATCCGAACCCTGCCAAGTCTCTCATCATTGTTTTACTGTTTTACTTGTGTGTGTGTGTGTGTGTGTGTGTGTGTGTGTGTGTGTGTGTGTGTGTGCGTGTGTGTGTGTGTGTCAGAGTGTGCATGGGAGCGTGTGTGCGTTTGTCTGTGGTTTGGGATGGGTCTGTTGGGTGGTCGGGGGGAGGGGACATGGGCCGGCGGGATTGTTTTTAACCAAACTGTAAAGCACTTTGTGTTGCATCTTTTGTATGAAAAGCGCTTCATAAATAAAATTTGATTGATTGATTGATTGAATCCCGTTTGGACCAGGGCCTTTCTGAGTGGAGTTTGCATGTTCTCCCCGTGTCTGCGTAGGTTTCCTCCGGGTACTCCGGTTTCCCCTACCACTAAAAATATGTACAATAGGTCTGGCATGTGCCTCCTGTACTGGCACCCCCACTCCCAAAAAAATAACAATTGTAAACCGCTTTGAGACTCCGATGTGCAGTGAAAAGGCGGTATATAAATAAAGATTACATTACACAGCCCACTAGATGTAGTGTAAATGATTTTACATATCTGGCAGGATAATAAATAGATAAAGTGACCTTCAGTGGACATTCTGAAATTGCAGTATTGCACATAAAACACACATGCAGTTTTTACTTTCTACAGATGTGCAGGCTCAGCAGTTCCCATTTTACCATCGAGACTCCAAACCCCTCTCCCACCTCCAACTGGTTCAGAATGCACAGTCAAACTTCTCACTGATTTAAACTGAAGGGAGCACATCACCCCTGATTTAGCATCCCTCAACTGGCTTGTATTTTTTTTTTTTAGGTTTTACTGATCACTTTTAAAGATTGTTTAGGTCTGGCACAATACATTTCTGAACCCATACGAGGCCCCCTCCCTGTAGTTAGATCCTCCGGATGATCCCTGTAGGTCGTTCCAATGGCGAGGCTCTGAAAGAAGGGTAATGGAGCCTTTTCGATTCTTGACTCTGGAACGACCTGACCGAGGATCTATGGTGGTGTTTACACACTGTTTCAGGCGAGACCCCGCAGCGTCTCCGTCTAAACAGGGCCTGGCTCATCTCATCAATAATCACTTCCTAAAACCCACTTTTGATCGAATGGCCATTTGTTGTATTATACTGTTCCAGATTGCATTTCCATTCAACTTGTACAGCCCTAAATCATCTCGGAGGACTTTACAAAACCGTTGAATTCGCTAACACAGATCATAGAATAAAACGGTTGAAACACAAGATGCAATGATGCAAAACACAGAGGCATTGGTACATAAGGGGCAGAGACTAATGTCCATAAATATTGTTTAGTGTCCTGGATCTCCACTGTTATGACCCTCCTGCATTAGCGAGAAACAACTCTAAAACAATAGAACATTGGGAAAAAGTAAGAAACCTCGAGGAGGCCCACATTGAAGGAGAGATCGCTCACAAGGACGGACTTGGGAGCCGTCTGTCTGCTTTATTGTCCCGTATTCTTTTTGTTATTTTATATAATTATGACTGTTTTATTAAGTGCTTTCGACTGTTTTTATTGTTTTATACACTGTTTTTGAAAAAAGGGCTATAGAAATATAGATTTATTGTTTATTATTGTTATCAAAATATGTTTTTGTTGCTCCAAATGGATGATAATATTGCCGCTGTATCATACTGCGGCATATTTTGAAAGTTGGAAGTTTGTTGTGACCTGTTTTTGATACGTCACTGCGGTGATAAGCTGACAAAAAACTCACCAAACCTCTATGAACAAAGCTTGATTGTATTTGTTTCTACTCTTACGCCTACTGTTCACTTTAACACTTCCACCTCTAATCCCAAAAGACAAAAAAAAACAAAACAAGTAGTTTCTGAAATTATCTCAATCCTTGACTGGTCCTTGGTTCTCAGCAATCTCATCTTGTAGCAAGTGTTAGTTACCATAGCAACCCGCTGTTTATTTACAGCATTTAGTATTTAGATTTGCTGTATTTAAATACATAAAAAAAAAAAATCATATTAAAGTTAAAACCATATGAATTACTCAATTTATAAAACTAGTTAAAAACAAAAACTGTTTTGTGATATTTAAAATTCTATTAATTGGAATTGGAGCCGTCACAATGATTGCTCTTGGAGTTCTACTAGTTTCAGAATTACTAAAGTCCTGTTGTTAAAATCATAGACTGTCAATAGTTAAAAATCATCCATGGTCAGTCCCCGGTCCGTCCTGTCCGTCCCTTCCTGCTGCCCACACAGGCCGACACCAAGATCACATGACCCGCAGCTAACGCGCTAGCATCGGCTGTCACACCGCTGTCATACCGCTGTCCTCTGCCTCCCAGCGCCCCGATACCTCACCCCGAACCCGGCTACAGTCCTCGGCCTCACCTGGCAAGTCTACCCCTTTCATTTCCCCTCACATTATCATCTTTTCCGTACACTTTGTTGCATTTGGAAGCACTATGCTAGCCGTCGGTGCTAATGCTAACAGTCCAACTTCTTAGAAAGGTGTTGCTGCGAAGGCTTTAGTTAATTAATCGTGTCAAACGTTTTCTGATTTCTCCGCGTTTTCTCTTGGATCACACTTTAATCTTTTTTATTTCAATATTTTATCTACGTAACTTTACTACTTGATGCAAACGACTCATTGTTTACATTTTTTGAGTACTGGATTTACCAAAGTCCACCATTTCCGGGTTTGGGAGTATCTGTGTGGTTAATGAGTAGAAAGAGTCGACTTTTCTGATTTCTGATGACTAAATGTGTGGAGGAGATGGCAATATTTCTTGTAAGCTCTATTGCGAAATGGCTGTTAGCTTGTTCAACACACACTGGCTAATATACAGTATTAAAAAGCTGCTTATTACTGTAGTTTGGCATTTGGTGACATTGTGCCTCATTAGATGCTCGTATTTGTTGTTAAATTAATTTGTTATGGTCTGCTCTTGGTGTCATTGTACTAACTGCTTGTTTCCAATGACTGACGTTGAAACTTAACCCCTATTTCAACTGTGACACTGTGTCCAAAGATGACACCGTTTTACCTTCCTAAAAATGTGAGACAGGCTTCTTCTCTGACAATGTTGAAATCCAGGTTCAAAACAGCTCTTTTCAGCGTTGCGACAACTGAAGGATTTTATCTTCACTATTTTTAATGTACTGTGATTATTTATGATTTGAATGCCTTGTGTGATATCTTCTTTTATTTAGCACTTTGAGTTGCCTTGTACTATACATATTTGTTATACAAATAAACTTGCCTTGCCTTATACCAACGGTGGTTACATGTTGTACAGAACAGATCAACCATCTATGTTTCACTCTTCACTGTGGGGAAGATAGATATCCTCTAAGGATAGATACATATTTCATTGATCCCCGTAGGAGAAATCAAATTGTAAGAGTAGTTATTAGCTAAAGTATTAATATAAAAAATGCAACAGCACTTTAGGTCACAGCAACAGAGGTAGTGTAGCTGCTTGGTTGGGACCATCCTCTCTGCTCTGCTCAGGATCAGTGTAAAACCATGAACACGGTATTGTAGTAACATTTACTGTACAAGGAGAAAAAAGCAAGAAAAATAACGATTGTAAAGAACAAAAGCACTGTTTCAAAGATACTTAGGACTCACTGTGGTTTCCAGAACATTCAAACGTAAGTAATTTAAAAAGCTTTACTTTGAAATTTTGCACATTTTTCTTTTGTGACATGTACATTTCTCCTGTGAGAGATCCATAAAGTCTATCATCTTATCTTATCTTTCAATTTGAGTGTCTTTAATCTATATAACTACAGTGTAGAACTGTCCTTGGTGGTGTTGTTCCTGCCTGAAGCTCTTTACCACAAACATCTAATATTTAATAAAAGAACAAGCAACACACTCAGTCTGACCTGCAGAAATGAATTATCTGAGTATAATGGAACACAGACTTGAGCTGAAATCTTCTTGATAATTACACACTTGTTGTTCAACCAGTGTTTTGTCTACAACCGTGGGTTCAAAGTAGATCAAGATTGAGATGAAGAGATCCTTTATTTATCCCACAGTGGGGAAATGTCAGTGTTGCATCACCGGTTACAGAACAGGGTTAATACTCAGTTCTCTATACAGTTTAATCCTGGTTAAGATCCACTTTTGACCCGATGTAGAGCCACGAAACTTCATTGACAATACACTTTATGCATGGACAAAACATAGTTGCTTCTCAAGTTGAAATAGATTTGACTGTAAGAAGTAGTAGTTGTCTTGTGTGTTCAAACATAGATTTAAGATAAAGATGAAGAGATCCTTTTTGTCCCACAGTCGGGAAATGTCAGTGTTGCATGAACAATTAACAATAACCCTATACTAAAATAAAATCAAATCTCAAACTTTAGCATAATAAGGAAAGATGCCTAAAATGTCCAACTTTAGCAGACATATAGTAGTATGTTTACATATGTACATGTTAGCAGCATGGGGCTCTGGAACACAGACACAGTGACACTTGTGAGCACAATTGAGGAAGACAGAAAACAACTATATTAAAGTGCTCCACCCAGCAGTCTTATCTTTTTTAATAGATTGTATCGTTTATAAATAGTGTGGGAACTAATTGTGTGGGGGACTCTCACATCACATTCTGCTGACAAATTGAATATTTGCTTCATCTCTTGGGGAAGTAATTTTTTCTCATGGTCACGGTACAAATTGTGTGGAAATTGAAATGAAATTGCAAAGTCACGGTCAAGGTCGAAAAGACTTTGGCTGCTGGGAGCCTCTGCATAATTCCAAATCTTCATCAGTTCTTAATATCTGAGATTTAATTCACTCGGATCAGTGGACAAATAGTTAGCACATGCGATTATCATTGACAGCTGCTGTAATACTTTGCTTTGTACATATATCCATCCATCCATTTTCTACCCTTTAATCCATTTCTGGGTCAGGGGGGTGGCAATCAGAGATGCCACCCAAGTCTCATAGCACCAGCCCCTCACTGACCCTCTGCAGGTGGTGAGTCCACAGGAGGACGGCTGCTCTCTGAGTGTGAGCATAGCCTTGATCTTTCAGTGGGGGCTTTGGGCAAAGTGGGGTTAAGTGTCTTGCCCAAGGACACAACGACAGCAGTGATCAGTGGGAGTCGGTGGAGAAGGTGTAGAGGTGGGAATTGAACCCACGACCTTCAGGCCTGAAGGCCAATGCTCTACCACTACCGCTCGCTACTGTCGCTATATTTGTACATATATATTAATTTAAAATAATTTATCTTCTTAATTAGATGTTTTGTAATTCATTAATCTAAATTAATTGCATTTAATTGCATATAAATATTCAACCTGAGAACAGTGAGCAGCACTTTTTTTACATGGATTCTTAGTAACCATTGAGTAATGACTGAATACTGACGCTTAAGCAACAACAACAATTTTTGTCCAACCAAGACCAACAGACCAGTGCAACCTTTACCATTATGTTGTAATAGCATAATTACAAATATAATACACTTTGCCTTTATCTTCTTCCACTCTGCGTTCATGTTCAGGTTTCAGTTTGAAATGCATGAAAAAAAAAAGTTAGCATTATTTATGTGTAATGTATTTGGGCACCTCCAGCAGACGTAGATATTTCTGAGAGTGAGAGGTGTAAGTCGGTGCAGCGGCTGTGGCTGATAAGACCATCGGACATTGGACTTGGACTTGGACAGAGCAGGTGGAGATGGCACCGCGACAAAGGAGGAGCAAAGTCAAGCAAATATTACGCCACACACAGCACCAGTGTGTCTGTGGGACCGCAAGGCCAAAACAAAAGAATGATACAGAAACACCACTCCTGCCATGTTTGCACTTAATTTTTTGGAATGACTTAAGTTGATCCTAATTGAGTTTCAATGATTATAGACATTTCCAATTCAAAGCATACACGGGTCATGTCCAGGTTTGATTTGGGGACAGATGGACCTGTGTGTGTTGGCGCAGACGCTGTAACAGGCAAACACTGAATCACAGCAGATGAGACGCAGAGACCTCGCCCTCTGCCTAATGGAAATACTGGTAAAACTAGACTCTAAAAACAGCAGGTGAAGAGAGGAGGAGGAGAGGGACTTTTTCATCACATCGGAGTGGAAAAAGATTAAGATTCTTAAAACGGATGCTTTTGGAAAAACAATGCCATGGTGGATTTATTTACTTTTGTCATCATTTTTGTAGCGCTCTGTCTCAAAGTGTGTTATTATAAATTGTTGAAGGAAGAAAATGAGTCCACGCTGACGACTAATATTCTAAATTCTCAATACTCATTACTCTTTTGCCTTGGTCACACTCCCGATACTGCAAGTGGAAAATGGCAGGTTTGGTGACATTTAACCCTTCAAAGGCCAAAATAATACAGTTTAAACAGTTTACATTTTAAAGATGTTTTCACTGATTCGTTTGCCACAAAGATCAATAAAAGATGGAAGGAGAAACCTATCTGATCAGACGCAGGACAAATTACTCAGAATCAGAATCAGAATCATTTTTATTGCCACGTAAGTAACAGGAGGTCACAGACTAGGAAATTGCTTTGGCTCAGTGCAACAGTCAAAAAGAGATAATAAAAATAAGAATAAAAAACACTTCTAAAGAATAAATTTAAATTTAAAATAGAGTTACAGTTACTATTTACAATATACAAGTGCACATGGTGCACACAATGTAAGGTGACAGCAGTACAGTGAAGTAAAGTGACGTATGATGGGCAGTAAAGTGACTTTATAAAGGGCGGGGGGACAGGTTAAGAAGTGTTCAAGAGTCCAACAGCAGAGGGGAAGAAACTGTTCTTGTGGCGGGAGGTTCTAGTCCTGATGGACCGCAGCCTCCTGCCTGAGGGGAGTGGATGGAATAGTCCATGTGCAGGGTGAGAGGGGTCGGCTGTGATACGACCAGCCCGGCCTCGAGCTCGGGCGACGTACAGGTCCTGCAGCGATGGAAGGCTGCGGCCGATCACTTCCTCTGCAGAGCGCACAATGCGCTGTAGTCTCTGTTTGTCCCTGACTGTGGCTCCAGCGAACCACACGGTGACGGAGGAGGTGAGGATGGACTCGATGATGGCCGTGTAGAACTGCACCAACATCTGTGCAGGCAGCTTGGCTTTCCTGAGCTGCCGCAGGAAGTACATCCTCTGCTGGGCCTTCTTGATGAGGGAGCTGATGGTCGGCTCCCACTTGAGGTCCTGGGTGATGGTGGTGCCCAGGAAACGGAAGGACTCCACAGAGGTGATGGGGGAGTCCATCACGGAGGGTGGGGGTGGGGGGACAGTGCTCTTCCTGAAGTCCACAATCATCTCCACTGTCTTCTGGGCGTTCAGCTCCAGGTTGTTACCACTGCACCAGGACACCAGCCGGTCCACCTCCCTCCTGTAGGCGGACTCATCGTTGTTGGAGATGAGTCCAATGAGGGTGGTGTCGTCCGCGAACTTAATCAGCTTCACGGAGTCGTGGCTGGAGGTGCAGTGGTTGGTGTACAGGGAGAAGAGCAGGGGAGAAAGAACACAGCCCTGTGGGGCTCCTGTATTTATAATCCGAGAGTCCGAGACATTCTTCCCCAGACGCACTCGCTGCTTCCTGTCCGTCAGGAAGTCAGTGATCCACCTGCAGGTGGAATCGGGCACGTTGAGCTGGGAGAGCTTGTCCTGGAGCAGGGATGGCAGGATTGTGTTGAAGGCAGAGCTGAAGTCCACGAACAGGACCCTGGCGTAGGTCCCCGGGGAGTCCAGGTGCTGTAGGATGTGGTGGAGGGCCAGGTTAATGGCGTCGTCTACAGATCTGTTGGCTCTGTAGGCGAACTGCAGGGGGTCCAGGAGGGGGGAGGTGAGGGACTTGAGATGGGAGAGAACCAGGCTTTCAAATGACTTCATGACTACAGACGTAAGTGCTACAGGTCTGTAGTCATTGAGTCCTGTGATCCTGGGCTTCTTCGGGACGGGGACAATGATGGAGGATTTGAAGCAGGCCGGGACATGGCAGGACTGCAGAGATGTGTTGAAAATGTCCGTGAACACAGGAGTAAGCTCACTGGCGCAGTGTCTCAGAGTGGCCGGAGACACGTGGTCCGGGCCAGGAGCTTTGCGGGGGTGCAGCCTCAGGAAGAGTTGTTTAATCTCTTTAGCGGCTATTGTTAGGCTGGGGGCAGGGCTGATGGGTGGGTCGTTAGAGTAGTTGGGGGGTGGGGGAGGGAGAGGTGTCAGGGGCAGCATCAAAGCGACTGAAAAATAAGTTCAGATCGTCAGCTAGCTTGTGGTCGTCAGCACAGGGGGGGGCTTTGGGTTTGTAGTTGGTGATCTCCCGTAGGCCCCTCCAGACAGAAGCAGTATTGTTGTTACCAAACTGCTCCTGTAGTCGTTCTCTGTGCCGGGACTTGGCTGCTTTCAGTTCTCTCCTGAACTGATATTTAGCTGCTTTGTAGCCGCTGCGGTCCCCCTCCCTGAAAGCAGACTCCTTTGCTTTCCTGAGCTGCCGGAGTTTAGCAGTGAACCAGGGTTACTCTTTTCCCGTTCTGCCATCTGTCATTGAGGTTTTGGATTAGGATTTTTACATCCTAATTCAATAAATATAGCCTAGATGTATTGCTCACCACATAGACTAACATATTGGCATAGATAACTTTTGACAAAAACATTTTCAGAATTCTATTTATTGAAGTTGTAAGCAACAGGAAGTCACAAACTAGAAATGTGGGAAGCAAATGTGAGCGCTAAAGTAACGGGTTAATTAAGTGCTAATTCGTGTACCCTAACCGTAGCCCTAACCCTAACTCACATGGGAAAGTGTAGAATGAGGTCTAGTAAATGTTTAATATTGAAATACCTATTAAGAGCTAATTAACCATAAATTATACACTAATTAGTTGGTGTATTAGTGAGGGCTAAACTAAATACCTGCTTCTTCTTTGACAATGTGCAAATCCAGATTAAAAACAGTTTTGCTGCATACAACTGTGGGATTTATTTAAACTCTTTTTAATGTACTGTGATTATTTATATAGTTTAAGGCCTTGTTGTTTCTATCTTGTTTTGTTCCGCACTTTGAGTTGCCTTGCCTAAAGTGTGACCAAAACAGAAGTACGAATTGATTACAAATAAATGTACATCAATTGCATGGACAGAAATAGTGCTTTGCCAAACCCTACATTTTCTGGTTGGATTGTTGAAGTCCTTCGTAGAGTTCTCAGGAACAGTTCCTGGTCTGTCAGAGGAGCCGCACAGAGAGCTGTGTCTGTGTACAGAAGTGAATGACCGATGGTAACCTCAATCTCCCTCCCTCCCTCCCTCCCCCTCTGTCTCCCATAGGGCGCTGAACAAAAGACAATTCCACTGGTATAAACACGTATCGAAACAGCCGCGCTGCTGGATCCTGAGACCACAGGGACCACTGCAGGAGGCCCCAGCTCTGACCACAAGCACTGCTCCTGGACAGCTGTGCGAGCATGAACACACACTGATATTCACAGGTAAGAACTGGTCACACACACACACACACAGATAGAGACTGAGAGAAACAGACAGAGACAGAGGACGGAGAGAGACATAGATACAGAAAGAAACAGAGAGAGACAGAGGACACAGGGAGAGACGACAGACACACTGAGAGACAGAGAGGGAGAGACAGAAACAGAAAGAGGGAGACAGAGAGAGGGACAGAGAGGGAGCCAGAGAGGGAGCCAGAGAGGGAGCCAGAGAGGGAGCCAGAGAGGGAGCCAGAGAGGGGGAGACAGAGAGAGGGAGACAGAGAGAGGGAGACAGAGAGGGAGACAGAGAGGGAGACAGAGAGGGAGACAGAGAGGGAGACAGAGAGGGAGACAGAGAGGGAGACAGAGAGGGAGACAGAGAGGGAGACAGAGAGGGAGACAGAGAGAGGGAGTGGGAGAGGCAGAGACAGACAGACAGAGAGAGAGACAGAGGGAGACAGAGAGAGACAGAGAGAGACAGAGAGAGACAGAGAGAGACGGAGAGAGACGGAGAGAGACGGAGAGAGACGGAGAGAGACAGAGAGAGACAGAGAGAGACAGAGAGAGACAGAGAGAGACAGAGAGAGACAGAGAGAGACAGAGAGAGACAGAGAGAGACAGAGAGAGACAGAGAGAGACAGAGAGAGACGGAGAGAGACGGAGAGAGACGGAGAGAGACGGAGAGAGACGGAGAGAGACGGAGAGAGACGGAGAGAGACGGAGAGAGACAGAGAGAGAGAGAGACAGACAGAGAGGGAGAGGGAGAGGGAGAGAGAGAGAGGGAGAGAGAGAGGGGGAGAGAGAGAGAGACAGAGAGAGAGACAGACAGACAGAGAGAGACAGAGACAGAGACACACGGACGGACGGAGAGAGGGAGAGAGAGGGAGAGAGAGAGACAGAGAGAGAGAGAGACAGAGAGAGAGAGACAGAGAGAGAGAGACAGAGAGAGAGAGACAGAGAGAGAGACAGAGAGACAGAGAGAGAGAGAGAGACAGACAGACAGAGAGACAGAGACACACACACAGCTCAGAATGGGACCAGCTGCTGCGGTGTTCAGGGAGATTGGCTACAAGATGAACCGTGTTTGATGATTGAATGTGCTACTTCTTTCAGGAATCAATTACGTTCAATATCCGCCTAATGACTCAAACTTGTACATAAACCGGATTCTCATTTCACCAGAAAAACCATGATATAGCAAAAAACAAAATTATAGCATCCGAGGCACCACTTAATGGTCAACACAAAAAACCTTTTATAATTGATGAATGACCCCATCACAATGATAACATGACCTGTTTTTGACTGAGGTTTACTGAGACGTTAGTGGTCCCCCTGGGTCTGACTGGTCCCCCTGGGTCTGATTGGTCCCCAACCACAGTAATTCTGCCAGATTGACAAGTGTAATGTGTAACAGACAAATCCATTGATACGGCACGTTGTCTGTGAGGGCAGCACTCATGCCTCACAGCAGGGAAGGTGTGGGTTTGATTTCTGTGCCAGGCCCTCTGGAAGATGAAAAACCTTTAACATGTCACTAGCACCCGCCATAACCTTTACATTGGGTGAATCCGCTGTACAAATCTGAAGTCAACGTTTGTTCAAGTGGACATACAAAACTTGTTCATCAGTTTGAGTAATGATTATATTGCAGAAGATGGGAAAGCGAACGTTTGACGACCGCAGCTCAAACTCTGTATGAATGTATTTTATGACGCATCAGAAGGATCCAGGTCATGACTCGGACAATCTTTATCGACTCACGAGTGATTTTACTCGGCTCCATTGCACAACGGCTTCTAACACGGACACAGCAACAGGTGCCACTGAGTAACAGACCTTTTAATAATAAATATTGATAGAAAATCAAACTAGAGCTAAATCAAACCTATGTATTTGTTATTTGTGTTTAACCTGAACACATTTCAACGATTTTGTATAGTCCTCTGAGATAACTACTGTTGTGATTTAGGGCTATACAGGAATAAATTGAATTGAATTGAATTTCAGTGAAAGAGAAAATGAGATTTGACATTTGGCCAGACGAAGCTGTCTATCGTTCACATATGTGTAAAGTTGTTGGATTTAGTTTCATCAGAATAAGTGAGAGCACATGCATTGTGTTTGTAATTAAACAAACATGAAGGATTGGATGCATTTCTCGGTTGTCTTTAGTTATAGTCACAACATTTGAAGTTTTATGTCAGTTTCCGTGAGTCTTGCTGTGCACAATATCTAATGTGTGTACTTGGATAAATAGTTAAATAGAGCAATAGGCCGATAGATACTTTATTGATCCCTGTAGGAGAAATGCTTTTGTCCAGCAGCAGAAACGCATCCATCCAAACAACTTGTATTTAGTGGTAATTCTGAGAAATAGTTTGAAGTTTTTTTATGCATGCCTTATTCAATTTTTACCTGTATAACTTGTTTGCACCTTGAGCCAAAGTTCTTCCTGTTACTTACAGGCAATAAAATAATTCTGTTCAGAATTTCAAACTTCACTTCAACAAAACAAGTTCAATTTTCTTGAACAGATCCAATCACAACATGCTGTATTTATTAGAACACTTTGGATCACTTGCTGTTAGCTACACTCCTTTCCACTGAGAGGTCACCGAGGCTACAAACAAATACATCTGGAAACTAGTGATGGAACAAAACTGTTTTAAGAGCGAGGATCTGATATGGATTTTGTTTCAAGTTCAAAGATCTCATACTTCTAGGTGTTTTTCATCGCACCTCTTTATTTGCCACACCAGCATTTGAAAATATAATAAACTTTGTACATAAACAGCACATTTGATTTGAAGCCGCAGTTTTTATGTTGTAAGGTACAGGTAACAGACGCGGCACAAGAAGCTCTGAGGGCGCTAACCTGTACTGTTTGCGGAGCTCTCTGATATATTGGTCGCTCAGGAAACTAACCTCAACCCTTACCATCACTGGTTACATCTGCAGCGCCTGCCCCAAACTTTAGTGTTTCTAAAAGAGTCACAAATAGAATCCAAAAAGGGAATATTTCCTTCTGTCTGATACGATCTAACAAGATTCTATTAAGACATAGCATGCTGTGCGCAGCTCATTTCATGTCAGCAGTGAATGGAGTTCCAGCCTTTTACCGATCTCTACTTAAGTTAAACGTCAATATATAGCTTCTAAAACTTCATATAAGTCCATAAACGCCTGAAATGCCTTTTTTGTGAGTGAAGAGGGAGTTCAGGGTTTATAAGTTCTATTGCAGCCTTTTCCAACAGGCACTTGCAGCAGCTAAATCAGGACCCGCTCACCGCCAAAACAAATACTATAAGGTCAGTGTTCACCCCTTGAAGAAAGCAATGCATTTTTTTCTTTTTTCGATTTTCAAAGATGTAGGAAACACATTATTGTAACACAAATGTTTATATGTTTTTTTTAACCCCTTTTTCCACTATAAGCCTTTACGAAATGTTTCAATGCAGTTTGATGTAAAAGTGAGTTGCTCCAAGTCAGAGGTTTAGTTCCAAGCTTCAAGTCTATACTGTATAGTCCTCAACCATTTGGTGTCACTATACAAAAGTGATATTTTGCTGGGACAATTTTTGGCATCTAATTTTTATGCCATGTTTATTCAAATATTTTGACTTGATTTTTCTTAAACAGTAAAGTTTCTATTCTCCTGCTCGTCTTTAGGGGGAATTTACCTCAAATGATGCTGAATATGAGTTGTTTAACACTAATAAAACAGCTACATTGTGATGTAGAAGCAGAACAGTTTAGATTGTTGTCTGCTCATTCAGGTCTGGATCACGTTGTTCTTTTTGCTTGTTCTTCCCGTGTCTCCCCCGTGGTTTTCTACGTCCCTGCTGCTGAATCAGTTCCTTCTTCAGAATGAGCACTTTCATTTCTGTTTTTACAGCTGTCCCTGTTCAAACACAGCACTTAAAGATCCAAGTCGCATTGTTTCAGTCACTTTGTTTGATGTGTCACAGGGGAACTTTCATCTTTGGAATCTGAATGAGCAATTAGAATATTAAAACCAGTGGTGGTATCATTTCTCAATGTTGTTACAGATGCAATTTTAAATAGTTGCTCAAGTAAAAGTATCACACGGTGGCTGGGTGGTTAGCACTTTTCTCAGCAAGAAGGTCCTGGGTTACATTCCACCGCCATGCCTTTCTGAGTGGAGTTTGGTCAAAGGCTTTGATGCTCCAGTGTGTTCGGCATCTCGCTTCCGTAATCGCTGTGTGGAGGGAACCGTGTGACCTTGGTCTGTAAAATGCGGTATTTAAATAAACATTACTTGCGTACTTACACAGGGATTTCTTTTTAGTTGTTCCTTGCCGACGCAGGATGGGCAATTTATTCACATCAACGGACATTGGACATCTGCCCCTTATGGACCAAGGACTCCTATGTGCTTTTTAATATTGCATTTCTGTTTGAATTGTTATAGAAAAATAGATTGGATTGGATAGAATAGAATTGAACACTTTTAAAGATGTCAGTAACTTGCACAGATGAGACAGCATTCACTCCCATTCTCATTCAGCACGCTCCTGGTGCTCCACTCCTCCTCCAATACCTCTAAAAACATTTGAAACAGATATGGCCTGTGTGTTGTGGTAACTGGTCCTCATGGTCTACATGGTTCTCATGGTTCTCACAGGAGCAGAGTGGATTCGGAATGACAAGGGTCTGTGCAGAAGATGTCCACGCTGTCAGTGACTGATGTCCCAGATGTTGGTCACGGTAAGAGCTCTGCTAACACAACACAGAAGGCAAATGTAACAACATTCTGCCTTTATCTTATTCAGAAAACATTTGATCTGTTAAATATTGAGAGCTGATTGGCTGAGTGAAGGCCTTCAAAGGCTGATCTACAGACTGACAGGCAAAAAAGTACATGTGTGAAAACAGAGGGAGACGCAGAGGGAGACGCAGAGGGAGACGCAGAGGGAGACGCAGAGGGAGACGCAGAGGGAGACGCAGAGGGAGACGCAGAGGGAGACGCAGAGGGAGACGGAGACGGAGAGGGAGACGGAGGCAGAGAGGGACGCGGAGAGGGAGACGGAGAGGGAGACGGAGAGGGAGACGGAGAGGGAGACGGAGAGGGAGACGGAGAGGGAGACGGAGAGGGAGACGCAGAGGGAGACGCCGAGGGAGACGCAGAGGGAGACGCAGAGGGAGACGGAGAGGGAGACGGAGAGGGAGACGGAGAGGGAGACGGAGAAGGAGACGGAGACGGAGGCGGAGAGGGAGGCGGAGAGGGAGACGGAGAGGGAGACGGAGAGGGAGACGGAGAGGGAGACGGAGAGGGAGACGGAGAGGGAGACGGAGAGGGAGACGGAGAGGGAGACGGAGAGGGAGACGGAGAGGGAGACGGAGAGGGAGACGGAGAAGGAGAAGGAGACGGAGAAGGAGACGGAGACGGAGACGGAGAGGGAGACGGAGAGGGAGACGGAGAGGGAGACGGAGAGGGAGAGGGAGACGGAGAGGGAGACTGAGACGGAGAGGGACAGGGAGACGGAGAGGGAGACGGAGAGGGAGACGGAGAGGGAGACGGAGAGGGAGACGGAGAGGGAGACGGAGAGGGAGACGGAGAGGGAGACGGAGACGGAGACGGAGAGGGAGACGGAGAGGGAGACGGAGACGGAGAGGGAGACGGAGAGGGAGACGGAGAGGGAGACGGAGAGGGAGACGGAGAGGGAGACGGAGAGGGAGACGGAGAGGGAGACGGAGAGGGAGACGGAGAGGGAGACGGAGAGGGACAGGGAGACTGAGACGGAGAGGGACAGGGAGACTGAGACGGAGACTGAGAGGGAGACGGAGAGGGAGACGGAGAGGGAGACGGAGAGGGAGACGGAGAGGGAGACGGAGAGGGAGACGGAGAGGGAGACGGAGAGGGACAGGGAGACTGAGACGGAGAGGGACAGGGAGACTGAGACGGAGACTGAGAGGGAGACGGAGAGGGAGACGGAGAGGGAGACGGAGAGGGACAGGGAGACTGAGACGGAGAGGGACAGGGAGACTGAGACGGAGACTGAGAGGGAGACGGAGAGGGAGACGGAGAGGGAGACGGAGAGGGAGACAGAGAGGGACAGGGAGACGGAGAGGGAGACGGAGACTGAGAGGGAGACGGAGAGGGAGACGGAGAGGGAGACGGAGAGGGAGACGGAGAGGGAGACAGAGAGGGACAGGGAGACGGAGAGGGAGACGGAGACGGAGAGGGAGACGGAGAGGGAGACGGAGAGGGAGACGGAGAGGGAGACGGAGAGGGAGACGGAGAGGGAGACGGAGAGAGAGGGAGACAGAGAGGGAGGGTAAGAATTGGATTGAGTTAATTTTGACTGTTTTAAATCAATCAAAAAACAATTTAAATTCTTTACTCCTTTGGTAGCGTTGGAAGCTTTGTTTACCCTTGTATCACCATAAACTTTCTGTTTAAGATGAATTTCACTTTCACTTCAAAACATTAAATGATGGCTGTGGACAGGTTTGTAAGCTGTGGTTCTCTGTGTCAGATGAGAGGAGAGCGGTGGGCAAGGACAGTGCGGACGAGGCCACTGGCTCCATGAAGCCTGAGTCCCGTGTGTCTCTGGGGGACACGTCTCCTGCTGGTCCTCCTCTGTCCAACATGTCTCCTGCTGGTCCTCCTCTGTCCAACGGAGATTCTCTCAGCGACAGGAGCGCTCTGCCTGTGGAGCCCAGCCTCATCAAACTGGACCCAGCAGCCAACGACGCTTCTTCCCCTTTAGGTATTGTTTTTTTTAAATTTATTTTATTTATTTTATTTCATTTTATTTATTTTTATTAGGGTTAGAGTAAGGGTTATTATAGGGTTAACAGTACACGCACAGAGGTCTTGCTGCTCTCCAGATGCCATTTCCATCCTCAGTACTCAGTATTATATATTATGAGCACATGAAGACTCCTTGGCTACCAAATATTGTTATCAACCTTATTAAAAACTGGGGACTTTTTCAATTTCATGTCAAAAAAAGTCATTTGGTGTTATTTGCAGCAAAACCACATTAGAGTACAAGTGCAAAAGTAAAATTCCCCAGTGTGCACCAGACAAGTACATCAATAAAACAAGCTAAAAGGTAGTGTGTGTGTGTGTGTGTGTGTGTGTGTGTATAGATGGCCAACCAGTGAAGAGGAAGAAGGGTCCAGCTCCTAAGATGTTGGGTAACGAGGTGTGCAGTGTGTGCGGAGACAAAGCGTCGGGTTTTCACTACAACGTTCTGAGCTGCGAAGGCTGCAAGGGCTTCTTCCGCCGCAGCGTCATCAAGAGCGCGCAGTACAGCTGTAAGAACCACGGCCGCTGCGAGATGGACATGTACATGCGCCGCAAGTGCCAGCAGTGCAGGCTGCGCAAGTGCAGGGAGGCCGGCATGCTCGAGCAGTGTGAGTACCACACCAGGACAGTTTAATTGTATAGCACAGTTCATACACGAGGAAACTCCAAGTGCTGCACTAAACACGATAGAAATAATTCTTATATGTAAAATCAAACTCGTCTCGCTCAGTAACTGTTTGTGATACACTCCTCATTTTGGGCTTAAAAATACAAGTTTGAGTGATTTCTTATGGTTATATTTTCATATTGTCTTTGGTCCATCCTTATTTGGCTCATTTCAAGATTTACAATGCCTTCAGTCGTGAGGTAAACTCCAGCTTTCGAAATTTCCCCACTGTGAGACGAATAAAGGAATTCTTATCTTTCCCTAGCAACCATCTTCACAACACGTCTGCCCATGTTTTGGCTCATGGAAACCCCATCGCAACAAAAGCCCCATAATGAAAATTGGCTCCAGCTAGCTTCTGTTCAAATCAGTTTCTTCCGCATTCTGCAAATATTATGGTGACCTGAGTTCATTTCTATTATACGGTCTGTGGTCAGTGTGGAAGGTCAATGCAGGAGGACAAGCACAGTTTACTCTTCACTTTCACTACAGTACATGTGGCCACAAGAGAAAACTATGGGCCTTTTAACACAGCAGGAACCTTTTAGGAGTTCCTCATACTTTCTAGTTTTCTTTTCCATGTTCAGGCCACTTTCACACATAATGGGAGCAAAGGAAGGGGACCAGTTCCTTGATCTCACAATGGAGACATCTAAATGTCACATTTGGCATAAATAGTTTCACTTTGGTTGTGCAAAAAGACAGGAAATGTGCAAACACTAAATATAGTCTCTTTAGTGCAAGATGTTTTATGTACAATAAACCTCAGCATATTTGATCTAGTGTATGTTTGTTGTTTTTAAATTGCTCAATGTATGTCAAATCTAGTTAGTCACGATGGTGTGACATGGGTAAAAAGTGAAAAACATTTAGCCTAATATTGTTGTGTGTGTGGTGCGGTGCAGGTGTGCTATCCGAGGAGCAGATCCGACTGAAGAAGCAGAAGAAGCAGCACGATGATGAGACTGCACGCTCTTCTGTGGCCACGCCCACCCCGCCCCCTGACCCCGCCTCTCTGGACCCCCAGCAGGAGGACATGATCCAGAAGCTGGTGGCCATGCAAAAGCAATGCAACAAGAGGTCGTTCCTGGACCGGCCCAAAGTCACGGTTAGTGCACAGCTCATGCTCCTCTCCCCACGCCCCACGTCCATCTCTGCCAGGGATTCACAAGGAGCAGTGTGTTGAGATTAGGGACGTGTCTGAAAAGGGTTTTAAAGGTACAGTGCTGCCCTCTACTGTTAGCCTGGACAAAAGCCAAAATCAAATCTTTACAACGGGGTCAAGATGTGGCTCTTTTGATGAATGTGTTCTGCTCTCAGACAAATCTTGGTAGGCATTAATAGTAAGAATGTATTGGAATTCTTCATTATACTTATATATTATTTGCAAAATAATGCAAAAACGTCCCCGACCTCTGCCTCACAAGTTTAAATTTGACAGAAGTGAGCCGATGCTCGGTGGTACTGGACAATGTTATCTTGGTGCAGAACAGACTTTTTCAGCAGTAATTGACTGCCTCAAAGAAAACCATGTCCTTGGGTTTAACTGAAAGTGCTGTGGAGAATGTGCACAACATGAGAGATTTTATAAACGTTTGTATATGGCCGTGTCTAATGTACGTGTCTCTTGTCGTGGTTTGTGTGTGTGTATATATAGCCGTGGCCCCAGAGCCAGGACCCACAGAACAGAGAGGTGCGGCAGCAGAGGTTCGCACACTTCACGGAGCTGGCAATCATGTCGGTGCAGGAGATCGTGGACTTTGCCAAACAGTTGCCGGGTTTCTTGGAGCTCACCAGAGAGGACCAGATCGCTCTCCTCAAGACCTCCACCATCGAGGTACAGTCGCCTCAGACAGATCTTTTAGATCCTTTATAGTGTTGCATCACAGGTTACAGAGCAGTAGGAACAAGGAGCAGACCATACAACAAAAGTTAATATTAAGAATAGCCTAATACTACACGTAAAACACATTCAAATCTCTATCTTTACCTTATTAAATAATCTAGAATAAAATGCATCCTCTAGTGCAAGCAAATTAAACTTGTATGTTTACATCTGTAATCAGTAGTACACTAGTGAAAGAAAGTTGGGGTAATAACTCATTAGCTCTGAGGTTTCAAATACTCAGTGATGTACCATGTGATGCTACTGCACATGTTAAAGTTTAGGTACTTGGTTCTTTTATACCAGATAATAGTAAGGACTGAAGAGCACAGGGAATGGCCTCCGGCTGGGACTCTGAAGAGCACAGGGAATGGCCTCCTGATGATGCTCAGAGTTAGGACTAAACATTAGGAGGTTGCGTTTCATAATTATGCAGCTACAACCTGGAAGGATCTTTCTGATAATGTGAGACAGGCTTCTTCTCTGGCAATCCAGGTTAAAATCAGATCTGTTTAGCTGTGCATACACTTTTCCTGATTGCTATACAAGTAAACATGCCTGAAACACTCTCTTCAAAGATCATGCTTCTGGAGACGTCGCGGCGGTACAACCCTGCGATCGACAGCATCACTTTCCTCAAGGACTTTAGCTACAACAAGGAGGACTTTGCAAAAGCAGGTACCGTCTTTATCACATGCTTTATGAAACACTCTTTGATGTTTCTGACATCTCTCTCTTTTGCTTTGATCACAGGTCTCCAGATCGAGTTCATCAATCCCATCTTTGAGTTTTCAAAAGGCATGAACGACCTGCATTTGGACGAGGCAGAATACGCATTGCTAATTGCTATCAACATCTTCTCTGCTGGTTAGTGTGTGTTAGCCATGGATCTATTATAATATCTGGAGAGGGTATTACTAGCTCAAAGAAGTCCCACCCATGGGCACAGGGGGCGCCCGTGGTACTGCAGACTAAATTAATGCGGGCTGCCAAGGAAAAAGTCCCATAGAACGCAATATAAACTAAAACAGCTCAACCTCAGCTGACAGAGAACCTACAGCTTTCATAAAGGTCGGAATTTTGTGGACATTTTAGTGTCCCTTAATATCCTTTTTTTCTTCTTAATTCCATCAGTTTTTTTTATAAATCCACACTTTAGTGCAAAAAATGTCTGCTCGTTTGGCTCTGATCACCAGCCGCAGCCATGCCCCTGGCGCAAATCATCATGGGAACTAGTCCACTGTGTAGAACTGGGAGGACGATACGCAGACACAAGCTTACACAGGCTAACTACCCTGTGTTAGCCTGTGTTAGCGTGTGTTGAGTTAAGATTGAGAATGTTTTTTTATTAGTCCTGAAAAGGTTTGCTCAGTTTTGATTTGAGACTTGATTAACGGGGATCCGAAAGGTTAGAACTACTCCAATGTGTGTCTCAGTGCGAGTATTTACTCTTCAGATAAACTTGAATTAAAAGCCAAGAATTGCGTTATTTTAATTTTTGTATCCTGTTTATATTGTTTCTTATCTTTGTTTGCATGTTTGAAAAAGATGAATCACTAAAAATCAATGTAAAAATACATGATCCATGTATTTGGGCCAGTGGACTGTCCTCACTTGTGTGCCCTGATAGCCGCTTGCGGTCATTGTTTCAGATCGGCCGAACGTCCAGGATCATGAGCTGGTGGAGCGGCTGCAGCAGCCCTACGTAGACGCCCTGCGATCCTACATCATGATCAAGAGACCAAATGTAAGACACGCCTCTCTCTGGTTTCTCTCTGGTAACTCTCTTTCCTCTCTCTGTCTCTCTCTGTCCTCTCTCTGTCTCTCTTTGTCCTTTCTCTGTCTGATCTTCTCTCTGTGTAGGACCACCTGATGTTTCCTCGAATGCTGATGAAGCTGGTGAGTCTCCGGACGCTGAGCAGTGTTCACTCGGAGCAGGTTTTCGCTCTTAGGCTACAGGACAAGAAGCTGCCGCCTCTTCTCTCTGAGATCTGGGACGTGACCGAGTGAAACCTTGAGACTCCAGAAGAACTCTTTGATCCAGACGTCTGAGCACAGACAATAGTCTTCATCTTTGATTTGTTTCTTTCGGTTCTGATTGATATTTCAGTTTAGTTTGAATCGTTTTATTGTAAACTTTCCGTTATGTCTCTAATTTCACTGCAACTTTTCGAATGCAGTGTGAACGAGGACATGGGTCAAAACGTTTTTTTTAAGCGTGTGACGTTGATAGGCAAGAGCAAGGCAAGTCTATTTGTTAAATAATCACCGTACATAAGATAGAATCCCTCAGTTGTTGCAGCTAAGCAGAACTTTTTAACCTGGATTTGAACATTGTCAGAGAAGAAGCCTGTCTCATATTTTCAGGAAGACTGGTCCAGCTTTAGCTGCATGAATCTGAAATGCTGCCTCCACATGTTTAGTCCTGACTATGGGACCAGCAGGAGGCCAGTCCCTGTGCTCCTCAGAGTCCCACCAGTCTCAGACTTGAACTTTGGTGATAGAACACAGTCTTTTCCCATTTCTCAATTGTTTTATCCTAATCCGTATATTTTTAGGTTTCATGAATGTGGCTTACACCGCGATTAGAAGCAAAGCTGCTGCTTCTGTACCGACAGGCATCCTTTACATTAGTGCCTTCTGGAGACTAGAGGAAACTAGAGGAACCATAAGGAACGCGTGGCTGTAGAATGATCCAGTGGAAGTACGCAGGTCACATGGTCACAGTGGACTGATGTTAATATAGAGTTTGATGAAATGATTGTCTTTGCGATAATAGCAAGTTTGATATCATTCTGCAGTGATGTGAGATTACTTTGACTATCATTCATTTCTCTTAGGAAAAAACTTATTTTTCACTCTGACCAATCACACACAACCTTTAAACACCAGGACCAGGACCACCAGGACCAGGTCAAATTAACAGAATTCTGAAAAAAATCCAGTTTTAGATTTTCACTACTCATTAATGTTGTGTAATGAATATGGTTTTTATCTGTAATACATCTTTCATACATGCTCAAACTGGTTACTATAAATGAAATATAGCAAAACTGAACCAGTGCAGGATTGAGATCATTTCCTAAACATAATTAGATAGAAATAAAGTACCATAATTTCCGAACTATAAGCCGCTACTTTTTTGTAGCTTTTTTTTCTAGATCCCTGCGGCATATAGCGATGCAGTGAACGAGTCATGGAAACTAACAATGAAGTCTTTAAATCCTATTGTGTCCAGTTAAAACAGTTGTCTCTGCTGTGTTAAACATTAAAACCTGTGGATTATATTCAAGTGCGGCCTGTATGTGGACAAACTTGATTATTGTTTCAAACGTAGGTGGTGCGGCTTTAATACAAGTGCACATTGTAATGCAGAAAGTATGGCGCATATAGATGCAGAAACAGTCACAAAGTTATGAAGACCAAAATAACATAAGAGGAGTGATTTCACTTCCAAGACACAAAGCTGTCAAATTTAGCCAGACCTTGTGCACAAACTGACATGAAAGATGGATCCCGGTGGTTCCTCAAACCAATACAGTTCCAAAAGGTGGGACTTATTCCTCTCTCCTGAAGTTAAATATTGTCTATGGAAAACACAAAACAGGAGTTCTCTCTCTGTGCTGGATTAATCCTCAGAGGTGAAAAAGTCTCTCTCTCGGATTTTACCCAAATATTTGGATTTGAAATTAACCAGTTTATCTAATATCACAGTCCTCAACACCACTATCACTTATTGCACTTTAGTTTGACATCGCGATAATGAGGCTTTAGATTCTGTACCGAGCCACGATAGAACGATAAATGTGACTCTGTGTGGAACCAACGTTTTAAGCTGTGATATTCCGGGGTTTCCGCTGGAGAGGGTTAGGCACAGGTCGTAGAGATGTAATATTGTGGTAGTTTTCAAGTAAAGGAAGCGTTTTGGTGGTTTTATAAATGACATTTGACTTCACTGTATGAAGGAATGCATCAAATTTGCAGCAATTTAATTTCAATTATATGTATTTTTGTATCGCCCTAAATCACAACTGTAGTCATCTCAGAGGACTTTACAAAGCTGTCAATTCACCAACACAGATCAGAGAATCAAACCGTCCTGCTATAATGAAAACGCATAGAGCAATTGGTCCGTAAGGGGCATTAATGTGGAGTGTCCTGGATCATCTCTGTCCTTAGAGCCTCCTGCATCAGAGAAACAACTGTATTTTATCGTGGGGAAAAAAGTGAAAAACCTCAGGATACAAAATCAACTTTTTTGAGCTTTTTACCACGTTACAACATTGTTCCCTCCTCTGAGAATTTGGGAGCTCTGGTGGTAGCCTAAGAACAGGACATAACTCTTCATACTTGTCTCACCATCTACTTTCTAGAGAAGATATTTCACATTCTAAATCATGAATTGACAAGGTGAGGTGACAATGCTTGAATTGAGTGTTTATCTTCACCTGGGCACATTCTGTCTTAAAAACAAGATTCTCCAATGGGACAAAGCCATTTAGTTTTATATCAAGAACTGTTGCTATATTGTCTCGTTTAGAAAAATACAAGAAGTGTCTCCCCTGGATTCAGATAATGTAGCGTTGTCCCATTGGCAAATCTTGTTTTAAGGCAGTCAGAATGTGCTGAAATTAAGATACATGTTGCCAAATTTGAATAATCACTTTCTGCAGTGTCATGGCAAAAATTGAGTATTTCTAATCACACAACTCGATGAAACCATTCCTCTCTATGCAGACTTTCTCCAGGAGTGTAATGTCGAATAACATGGTGGCGCAGTGGTTATCGCTTGTGCTTCACAGCAAGAAGGTACTGGGTTTGATTCCACCTCCAGGCCTTTCTGTGCGGAGTTTGCATGTTCTCTTTGTGCCTGCGTTTGTTGGTATGAGCCTCCTGTATGCCGACCCCATCTCTGTTGAGTGACAGACAAATACTCACAACAATTGTAAAGTGCTTTGTGACTCTGGTCTGGGAAAGGTGATATATAAATGCACATTACTTACTTAAAATCCCATTTTCACTAACCTTTCTGGATCTAAACAAAAAACAATCTATCAAAAGAATAATTGACGCTCTAGTCCACAGTCAAAAATGGTTTTCTGCCCCACTGAATGTAATGGGAAGATTCAGCCCTTGAACAATGGATTGGAAATAATCACCACTAGCAAATGTATACGGCTAAACTAATGCTGCTTATAACTCGCTCTTGAGGCTTAGAAACTGTACATAATGTAATCTAGTAATGAAGAACAAACAATCGTGATAGATTCGTATTTAAGTCTTATATATGGCCTGTCGTCACACTTCTTCAAATTACTCGCGATCCACGACAAATAATGGAAAGGGTCTGGCGCCGGCAGGTCTGGTCTTTGGTTGATTATTTTCCAGTGTGGACATGAAATATTGTACTGTTAATAACTTATTTTTACTATTGTGGGAAGGACTGATTTAAGCATGGGCCACTTCTATACATGTGAACACTGCAAGAAATGATGAAATATGAGGTGATAAATGCTTGAGTCGAGAAGTTTTTATCTTAATTTGAGTAGATTTTCCATTTCCAAGATAATTTTGCTTTGTCCCAATCTTCAAATCTTGTTTAAGGCAGTCGGAATGTGCTCAAATGAAGATACTTTTTTGCCAGAATTGAGCAATTTTTGACTTATTTGTCATCACTTTTTGCAGTGTATTCTCTTTAATTTACTGCAATGCCTGATTGTTTTACAGATTGTGTGAAAATCGACAAATGTAGAGACTATTTGCATGGAAATTATATGGAGAAAATGTACTTAAATATGAAATTAACTTTAATAGAAAGGGGAATTCTTAATTGACTATTGAAATCTGATCTGGGTGTCATTTCTCATTTCTTTCAGATTTTAATTTCTTGTTATTTCCACATGAGAACAAATGTATGAGCGGTTGCTATGTCTCGTGTGAACTGTACATACGACTGTTTCAGTGTAAAAAATAGAAAATGCAAAGTTATTTTAATATTTCCTGTCAGTTTATATGTACAGTATGAATAAAAGCTATTCTCTAGGATTACTCCTGTTTTTCCTATTTATTCAAGACTATTTGTGTTGAATGTAAACGCGTGGTTAAAACGGGGGAGAGGAGGCGGGTCACATCTGTCACTGCAGAACGAGGATGCATGAATGTTCTCTAAAGCTTTTGTATCTTTTTTGTATTGTGTAAAGACAATAGATGTTGAAAAGTAAAGTCCTCACCAATCTATCTCTTATATTGATGTCTTGTACTTTTCCCCCTGTCATTTAAGTGAATTATTTGTCATTTAACCATGAAAGTGGATATAATTTACTCAAAAAACCCTGAAGTTATAACCCTAGACCCAATTAAAACTGGGTAACCTAACTTTCAATTCACCATAAAATGTAACGGTAGCCATGGCAAGTAGCACCGTTCATACACCAGGCAATTCAAAAGTACTGAACAAAACAAGATAGATGGACAATATTAAGTCGATAATTTAGCATTGTAGATACATCAATACTTTATAGATCCCAAAGGAAATTGAGCACATCATTAAGAAATAGCAGTGAATACATAAAACATGTCCAATATAAGTTAAGGCATTGCAAGACGTACACATTTTCATTCAGCCAATTTGTAGTTGAAATATGAATGTGTAAAGCAAGTATTGGAATGTTTTTCGTCTAAACAATGTCCATGTAACGATCTGTCTCCCATCTGCACTGCCAGGATTTCAATCTTATCCAAGAAGAAGAGCTCTGTATGAAGGACCTTTTACTTGACAGTTATCAGCTGGTTGGTTTCAGTTTGCACACCTCCCTCCTCCCATCACCAGATCAGAGCCGGGGCTGCACTCTCAGGGCTGCAGTCAGGGAACCCCATTTCTCTGCATGAGAGCAGACGAACAGTGTCAAACAACTTGTACCAAGAACACAAACTTAGTAAATTTAAGGAATTGAATGTTATCATTTAGAATACAGTTACTTTAAAAATCATCCAAAGAATAAATTGTGGCAGGTTCTTTAGATAAATGGGTACTTTATTGGCCCCTAAATTCAGGTGTCCACATTTTGTGGGGTCTAAAGCCAAACTGGAACATATCAATTGAGTTGTTGATAATGAGAAATTTGGTAAGCTGTTGGTCAACAACTTTTTCAAGGACTTTTCCCATAAATGGCAAACTTGAACTTGGACAGTTTTATCATTTCCAGGTGCACAAATCAGCATCTACAGAAAATCTTTTACATTCACTGAGTCACTATTTGATGCAATGAGCTGAGAACTGATTGGCTGAGTGAGGGTGATCCTCTCTTTTTCACTTGATATTCAGGTGAAAACTAGTGATGGAACCAAGAGAGAAAGGAACGAGTTAGATGGCTTTTATTACAGTCAATTTCATTCTGGTTTAGATTAGATACCCCAATTTGTCCCCACAACACCACGAATTTACAGATGTATAAGTATATATTTATTTACTATATAATTCTTGCACTGAAATATACAGTAGCCGTATATTCTATTAATGTTTTAAGATAAGATAGAGATCAATAAAGTCTATCTTATCTTATAATAAGTAGTGCAGGTCTACAGGACCTTCTCAATGTCTGCTCTAAGTATGGTGTAGAGTATGATGTAAGGTATAATGCAAGCAAAAGTATGATAATGTTATGTAGAACTAAAGATGATGTAAATGTAAACTTTCCCCAATTTAAATTGTGTGGTGTTGAACTAAGTGTATGTTCCAAATATAAATACTTGGGCCATTTTATTTGTGATGATCTGTCTGATGATGAGGACATTCTCAGGCAATGTCGTATGTTGTACGTTCAGGCGAACATGCTGGTGCGCAAGTTTGGTGCCTGTACAGCGCAGGTGAAAAAGACACTTTTTAAAGCATACTGTAGGTCATTATACACGGCACATTTATGGACCAAATACAAAAAAGCAACCATCCGCAAACTCAATGTGGCATACAATGACTGTCTGAGGATTTTATTGAAAAAGCCACGATGGGAAAGTGCAAGTACTTTGTTTGTGTCAGCTGGAATAAGGACATTCCAGGCCGCCATGCGATGTTTGATGTACAGTTTTATTTGTCGGCTCAATGAAAGCCAGAATTGTATTGTCATAAGCCTGACAAATGTCAAATTCAGTGCCATGCGGTACCAGTCAGATCTGTGGAGACACTGGTACAGCTGTTTGCTCTGAGAAGTGAGGCTTATTGTTGTGATTACATGTGTTGTTTTGTGTTTTTATGTGATGTGTGTTATGTGTTATGTGTCTTATCCTGGACCCTGAGTCTGTAATAAAGTTTTGATTGATTATAACATTAGTAGATTATACGGCCCTCTCTGCGCAGCTCCAGCTCTGCAGCGTCACACAGCCACACACTGATGGATGGAGGATGTAGTGCAGCTCGGGCAGAACAGTAGCAGGTTGGACGCACGCACAGCCAATCGTCCCCCGAAGAGAGGCGAGCCCACTGTCGCCATCCAAGCACCATGCACCCGCGACTCGCATCCGCCAAGATCCCGCACGAATGACCGCACGACCGTTTTTTGGACCATCATATTATTATGCAGTTATCCTGTCATTTGCAACACATCCTCTACGTCCCCCTCACTGACGCACGGACGGAGCCTAGCCGCTAGCCAGCTAATGTCCCCAGGTATGTTGACGCATTTTGGGAGGAATATACCATTACTATTCACCTTAATATGACGTGTCTTGCGTCTTGTGTGTGTGTATGGGCGTTATTCACACGTTCAGCACGGTGTCACACTGATAAAACGTGCTTTTTTTTATCAGCTAAACGGGCTAGCTGTTATTAGCTGCTAGGAAGCTAACAGGCTAATCTATCGGGAGGCGACATGACAGGACCTGAATTGTATCTGCGTCCAAATTCGTACACTATACATACTTCCTTATCCTTCCTTGCTATGAATATTCTCTTTAAATGTAGTTAAAGTTGACAAAAGTGACATTTAAAACGTCTTTTAAATATGTTACATGTCACTCTGAGCTACCTTTTCTACTTAAATGATCAAAATAAAGCCAAAGTGAGGATGCGGAAGGAAAGGAAGGACACGAAGATGGCTATTTCCTGAATTCGCATGCAGCCTCCATTCAGAATTATATTAACTAATATATATTTATGACGAATATATTAAACATGTCTCTAAATTCGTGGTTTATGTCCACGGTGGGGGTAATTCTTCGCCTTATTTTGCCTTTTTTATTTTTTAAAACTCGTTAGCATTTACGTCGTGATGTATTCATTAGATAAATACGCTATTAATCTAACCACCAGCGTCTGTCAAAAGTATTTGTGTGTATTTTATGTATGAAAATCAGTATGCGAAATAACATGGGAGGGAACCTTCTGCGTTGGTCGTGATGGTGAGCTTAATAGTATAGTGGCTAAGAAAAGGTAATAAAAATGATATATTACTGGTTAATGCAAAACTGCTGCTTATGACGCAGACTGTGAATGCTTATCTTGAGGTATAATCTGTAATTGTAATACAAGGACATGCGGGAAATGGCAGCTGTGATCCAGACTTGAGAGTTGTAATTTGTCATAAGCGCATGTGTTGACAGAGGGCAAACAGCTTTGTACGTGGTTCAGATGACACTGCTGTAAAATGTGTATTACAACAGTACGTCCTCAGAATACAGTCATGTCATCAAATATTCATAAGTGTCATGGATGGAATGGTGCATGAAAAGACTACAGAGCACTGTGGTTTAAAAGAGCTGGTAGCAAAGGTGAACTTATATCCCTGTAGGCATTTGCATGATCTGCATTTGACCCTGATGCACTAGGGCGTTTATCAGGAGCAGTGGTCACCATCCTGAGGCCACAAGGGCGTCTGTCAGAAGCAGTGATCGCCGTAGTACAGCGCCCGGGAACAATCTCCAGATATTGATGCTCTTATTTATTTATTTTGTTGCTTATTTGGTTGGGACAGTACATGTTAATGAACACATCACGCCAGATAAATGATTGACTGCATCTTTAACTGTACCTGACTACCACCAGACAGAGAAGATTGCACACTGTAGAGCTCTTGCCATGGCGCCATGATCTCGATTATTGTGAGAATAAAGAATCATTGAGAGAAACCTTATATTCGACCCACAGTGGAAAAGTGTCAGTGTTGCAATACATGATGTAGTACAGTAGGAATACACCACTCAAACCAACACAAATAAGATAAACATGTTAATAGAATAAAGTGTACTAATAATGTTATTCCTCTTTATTTTACTTTATTATTATTATTATTATTTTTTAAAGCATCCAGAGACCAGCTATTGGTCTTTTTATGTGGGACTGATTTAGAGGCAATTATTTCTAATCTATTTTTGTTGAATATGCAATTTCTCATTTGTTATGCTTTTTGCCTAAATCACAAGAGTAGTTATCTTGTACTTGGACAACTTTACAAAGCTGTTGATTGGCCAAACACAAGAAATGCAACTATAAAAAAACACATAGTCATTGTTTCAAAAGGGGCAAAGACCACTGGCCATGAATGTTGATAGATGATCATAAATGTTGTTAAATGTCCTGGATCATCATCGCTGTCCTTCGACCCTCCTGCATCAGAGGAACCCCCAGCTACAAGCTCTAGCCGTTCACTCTAGTTGACCTTAGTTGGAAAATGATATACTGAGCTGTCAACAAGCCTGTATATCTGGTCTTTATCTGTATGATGCACACATTGACAACATTTTAGAGCCTGGATTACGTCTTACATTCATGATAATTATATATTCTCACGTTGTGTAGATGTTTGGTGATTGTGGGCCTGGGTCCATGTTCTTACCAGGCTACTGAAAGCTATGGTGGCGCAGTGGTAGCACTCGTGCTTATGGGCAGTGGTGCAGTGGTTAGCACTTGTGCATCACAGCAAGAAGGTCTAGAGTTCTATTCCACCTCCAGGCCTTTCTATGTGGAGTTGGCATGTTCTCCTTGTGTCTGCGTTAGCCCAAGTGCTCCGGTTTCCCCTACCACTAAAAACATGTTCAATAGGTATGAATGTAATGGAGGCTTTGCTGCTCCAGTGTGTTCGGCGTCTCGCCTCTGTCATCATTGCGTGGAGAGAGTGGAACAATATCAAACTCTGTAGCGCTTTAGGTGACTTTGGTCTGTAAAATTTGCCATATAAATAAACATTTCTTATATCACAGCCTAAAGGTCTAATTCAGATGTGAGAGGAGTTTCAAAGATCTTCACAGTCATCAATGGAATTCGTTTATCTGGGCGATGCATTTCTGAATGGACCAAATGTTGAGGCTTTGTTTATAATAAGCTTATTCTTGAGCTTGTGGATCTATAATGTATGCTGCCAGAGAAAAGAACCACAACGGCACCTGGATTATATATTTTCTAATTTTAGACATTATGCTAATGCTATGGCGGCACACAGAGCAGAACCACTGCTTCAGCTTCGGGTTTATGTAATAGTGTCTGCAATTCACTCCACAGGATGTTGCAGAGTACTTGCTTCTATAACGTCTTTATTGATGCCAAAGGTCTCCAATATTGTAGAACTGTAGTGTTTTGTTCTTTTTTGGCTCCTTTCTCCTACTGCCAGGTGGTGTTTTCTTCTTTCTTCTTTCTAACCCATGGCAAAATAGCACCTTTGGGGGTGTGCATAAGGTTACGCTCGATCATTCAAAGTTAAAACCTACATGAGCATACTTAACGTGAATTTAATTGGAAATGTTTGGTGCGGAGTATTGTATGTGAGGTTTACCAAATGGAAGCGATAACTTTTTCAATTCGTCTAAGTAAACAAACTTTTATTCGTTTATGGTCTGACTGGGTCAGATACATAAAGCCATTACAACCAGACTTTGTGGAGGTTCAAAATAATTGATATATGTCCCTTTTACTCTGATGTGGAATATGCTTTGAATTGTATTTTATTTTACGATACATACCAAATGTGTATTTTAGTTACTCTGATTTTATTTTGTAAATGGTTTCACTTGTTTTTGTTTTAAAAAGAAAAAAAAGATTGTGGATTGCAATGCAAGTCTGAAGAATTTTCAAACTGTCATGTTTAACTGTAACTAACAAAAAAAAAAAAACCTACACGAGCATAAAAGAAAAGCATGAAAAAAATAAAAGATTGTATGTGTCCTGTGTCTCTTATGAACTTTCAGGGATTTGTGCGTTTAGCTTATGTGTTTATCAAAAGTTAATCAAACTGGAAACCGGAGCTACCACTATACCCTCAACCAACCTATACATCTGGTTAAATAAAGCTGCTTGTTCAGCTCTCTCCTGCAGTATTGCTTTGATATTTGTGTTCCAAACGCATGCTCAGAGACTGTGTTTTGTTATGACTGCACCTGTGGCTGTAATATCTGCTTTGGCGGCGCTCCAGGAGGCTGCAGCGAGACCAGAGCTGCATATGGATGAATCTCGATGCTGCTTCTCTGCTTCCTGTTCCACGTAATTGATACGTTTTAAGATAATTGTTAGCTTCCCCTAAACATCACTTGCGAGAGAGGGTTCGACATTAGTTTGTGTTCAATCTCTAAGGGTTTTAGGGAACCTTCATTTCTGATGGTGGATTAACAAAAACATTATCATCCATCCATTTTCTACCCCTTAATCCATTTCTGGGTTGGGGGGGTGGCCAGAGATGCCACCCAGTCCACATAGCACCAGCCCCTCACTGATCCTCCTGCAGGTGGTGAGTCCAACAACAACAACAACAACAACTTTTTCTTGTATAGCCCTAAATCACAACGGAAGTCTTCTCAGAGGACTTAACAAAACTATTGAAATCACCAACACAGATCAGAGAATCAACAGTCAAGACACAAAATATAAACATATGTATTGGTCCATAGGGAGAGACCAATGTCCATGAATGTTGATAAATGTCCATACAGGAGCTTCTTTCCAGAAGCTGTTATCAATTTAAACAGAGCACTTTAATGATCTTGCACTTTTATTGAAACTGTTTTAGTTGATCAAATTCAGTGTCATTTGTTTCCTGCACTTTTAAAAAATCTGTTCTATTTCTGTTCTTTTAACCTTTTTTATTTAGTTTGTCTTGTGCACACTGGGGACTTTTGCAGATGTATTCCAATGTGGTTTTACTGAAAATGGCAAATAAAGTGAATTTGAATCTGAAGCTGAAATTCTGCTCTTGGCCCAACGCTACATTCCAGATTTGTGTCAATGCTGAGGGGACTTATTATTATTATTATTATCATTTGACCTGTCTAGTTTATCTGCTAAGAACATTTTAAAGTGATAGTCTGGAACTCTCAATGAATTTCAAATTTTAAGAATTGTATTAAACTGACCTCCTGGCCTTACATGTTGATATAGAATAAGTAATTTTATGAATTCTAATATTACGGGTAAGTCACGCCTTCTCTTAGCTATAGCTCAAAATCCACGATGCCGTCCACGTTAACCAATCAAGTGATGCCAAGGGCTGTCAATCATCGGCGCTGATGCTCGTAGCTGCGCGCAAGCTCAGTTGTTTGTTTTCACGGAGCCTCTGAATCAAGCCTCCATTAGGCTCTGGAACTACATAAAAACTGAACAAAGAATTCTGAACATTTGCGCTGAGTTACTCATTTATATACTGAACCTATATCCATAATCATTTATATACTGAACCTATATCCATAATCATTTATATACTGAACCTATATTCATAATCAGATCCTCTGCAGATGTGTCCTATAATGTTCAATTAATGTTAATAGCTACTTTGCTTTTTTTGTGCATTAAAACATTATTTTTGTCATGAAAACGTTAACAAATAATGCTGAAAACTTCCGTGCAGGTGCATTAACAATGTATATGTATAATGTGTTCTCCGATTAACATTTAAATGTGTTGATTGATTGTTACGGTAACGTAGGCGAAAGGAAGGGGAGGGAGCTTGGGTTGTATTTTTTTTTTTCAAATCATGCACCTCTCTCTTTTTTCTGACAAACTCCAGACAGTCACTTTAATGCAGTCGTTAAATTAGTTGGGCTCATGCCATATGTGAATAAAAATGCCATAATTTTTCTTCACATACTGTATAGAAACCCGTCACAAACACATTTGTTTCTTCTCTGTTCGGTTCTGTTCTGTTGTGCATGTGTAGCTGCAAGCTTATCTTTGTGTTGCTGCTGTTGCTAAGGCCCAAACCTTATCCTTAGATTCTCCCTCAGGAGTCGGCCTGGTAGATCCTGGAAATATTCCTGAATGATGTTGCAATGATAGCTGTGACTCTGATCCTGTTGTCCTTACACTATTATAGTTATTCTGTCTGATTCTGTAGTTCCATGCTGTAATATAAATTTTAAGGACATACAACTATACATCTGTGCACTACTGTTAGAAACCTTTACAATTTTGTACTAATGTGTTTGTATGGATGTTTGTGCATCTATCTATCCATTAATCTCACATCATCTTTCTAATACGTGTTTTCTTACAATTGAATGATGCAATAAGAGCTTTGTCTTTTGAGCAAAATTGTACTTACAGGATTCTGTGTTTTCTGTGAAATTCTTAAAACATTCTGGGGTTCCATGTTGTACTAATATTGTTTTTCTTACAATTGTAAAGGCGGCAGGCTGGCGCAGTCGTTTGCTCTTGTGCCTCACAGGAAGAAGGTCCTGGGTTTGATTCCAACTCCATACCTTTCTGTGCATAGGTTTTCTCCTGGTGCTCCCGTTTCCCCTACCACTAAAAACATGTACAATGGCATGTGCCTCCTGTACTAATGATCTCTGGGTGAAGTGAGAGACAAATGCCCTCAACAAAGATTGTCTGATATAGAAGAACTAAAACGTCTAATCCATGTTGTTCTCCTCGTGAACCACAAAGAAATGACTGTAATCCAGGCCTGTCCAAAGTCCTGGGTCTTGCTCAAAATAGCCACTGATACAAAAACCTTATTTTGCCTTTGTTGATATCGATCGATGCCTGTGTAGTTTATCTTGGTTGCAGAAGACATTTTTGGTTGCTCTTGGCAATGACAATTCAAAACAGAAGTGATGTCCCATCTGTCACTGGTCCAGGCCTTGAAATAATGCAAACAAAACAGTTTTGTGACTAAAAGACTGACATGGTGAACAAAAGTTCAGTATGTCATCCCGCCAACTTCAGCTCCACCAGTACACAATTATGTATATGGCTTATGGATTAAGGGGAAGAAAAAGGATGGATGGAGGCATTTCCTGTGTTTAAACCGTTTGATTATCTGATCTGTGTTGGCGAATAGACAGCTTTGTAAAATCCTGATATAACTACTGTTGTGATTTAGGGTGATACAAAATTAATTTAAATTAATAACATCATAATACTTTAAATGTGACACTGATTATTCATACCAAGGGACAATAACTGCATAATTGTATGTGTCTCATCTTGTGCATTATTCTGTTGTTACATCTAATGTTGATGTTGAGTTTGTGTTTGTGTATTATGCACAGGTGGATCTGACTCCAGTCCAGCTCCTTAAGGATGTGTGCAGCGTGTGGGGCCCCCAGCTGTGAGCAGTGACCCCCGACAGACTGAGAGCAGTCCACGATGGAGAAAAAGAAGATGTGTCCTCGCCTGCTCGACTACCTGGTGGTGGTCGGAGCACGGTAAGACCAGAGAGGGAGACCAGAGAGGGAGACCAGAGAGGGAGACCAGAGAGGGAGACCAGAGAGGGAGACCAGAGAGGGAGACCGACCAGAGAGGGAGACCGACCAGAGAGGGAGACCGACCAGAGAGGGAGACCGACCAGAGAGGGAGACCGACCGACCAGAGGGAGACCGACCAGAGAGGGAGACCGACCAGAGAGGGAGACCGACCAGAGAGGGAGACCGACCAGAGAGGGAGACCGACCAGAGAGGGAGACCGACCAGAGAGGGAGACCGACCAGAGAGGGAGACCGACCAGAGAGGGAGACCGACCAGAGAGGGAGACCGACCAGAGAGGGAGACCGACCAGAGAAGGTCTCCCTCTTCAAATAATCAATGACTCCATGTTCCAGCTTCTTCCCTTTGCCAGAAGATTGGCTGCTGAATTGTTTCCTGTACTTTTTAGCTTATTTTATTATATGTATTTGTCTGCTGCACATTGGGGACTTTTGAACATATTTTCTAAATAATCTGAATTTGTGTGTTTGACAGGCAGCCCAGCAGTGACAGTGTGGCTCAGACGCCTCAGCTGCTGCGGCGGTACCCTCTGGAGGACCACCCCGACTTCCCGCTCCCCCCAGACGTGGTCTTCTTCTGCCAACCCGAGGGCTGCCTGAGCATCCGGCAGCACCGTGTCAGCTTGCGCGACGACTCCTCCTTTGTCTTCACCCTCACGGACAAGGACTCGGGCATCACGCGTTTTGGCATCTGCGTCAACTTCTACCGTTCCTTCCAGCGCGGGCACCACCGTCAAAGACCCGACAAGAGCCACGACTCGGCCTCGCAGGGGGAGACCAGCGAGGATTCTAGGCCCGCGTCGGCTCTGTGCTCAAAGAACTCTGAGGGGTTAGAGACCGGAGAGCAGAGCGGGGATTTAAGCAGTAGTAAATCGCCTCAGCACAAGAGGCGCAATGCCAAAACTACCGCACGGAACCGCAACAGCACCTTGACGTCACTCTGCATCCTCAGCCACTACCCGTTCTTCTCCACCTTCAGGGAGTGTCTGTACATCCTCAAGAGGTTGGTGGACTGCTGCAGTCAGAGGCTCACGCAGCGCGCAGGCCTCCCACGCGCCGCCCAGAGGTCAGTGTCCTGATAGATATTTATTTATCACATACAGTGTTAACACGGTCACTAACATGTAGTGAATGTCTAGTAACCAATATGTCTGTCTTTGATTTAAGTCAAAGAATTATCTTGAAAGTGTTCATGAGACGTATACAAAGAAAGACATTCATAAAATATGAGGTACTAAAGGCTTGAATCGAGTGGTTTTTATCTTAATCTGAGCACATTCTGACTTTTGTTAAAATGTCAAAGGGACAAAGCCATTTCGTCTCATTACATTAGCAAGAGTTAGACCTACAGTGCCTTGCAAAAATATTCGGGCTTTTTACCTATTTTGTTACATTACAGCCTTTAGTTAAATGTTTTTATAATCTGAATTTCATGTGATGGACCAGAAAACAATAGTCTAAGTTGGTGAAGTGAATTGAGAAAAATATATACATAAAACTATTATTCAGAAATAGAAAACTGGAAATTGGCATATCTTAATCTTTAATACATTTACAAAACATTAAAACCTTACAAAGATTGAATTAAAAAGAAACCCGTTACATTTCCATGGTCACATGACCGTTGGAATTAAATGCCCCCTCCCACCCCAGAGTCTAATTATGAGGAAAGTTTTCAAACAGTTCATCCCTGAGCCTCACCCTGAGGTGCTCCTTGAATTCCCCCAAAGTTTCACTAGAGACACAGTCAGAGTCCAGCATGTTCCACATTCTGGTGGCCAGAGTGAGACACGATCTCTGCATGATATGGGCGCTGGGCAGTGTCCCGTCCGGAAAAGCACAGCTGACCCAGCGCACATGGTATGACAGGACCCTTTGTGTGGGTCGGTATGGTCCCAGCGCCGCAGGCGAGAGTCCATGGAACAGTTTAAAACCAAAACATGCAAGAGCAAAGTTCCGTCTTGTTTGCAAGGTTGTTAGTCCGAGCGCTCTGTAATGCTCTGCTGTCAACTGGGCACGATACGGCAGATTTAGAATAATGCGCATGCATCTTCGTTGGATGCTCTCTAAACAGTTTATCAGAGTCTTTCCTATGCCACAGATCAGCACTGAGCAGTACTCTAGTCGGGATCTAATGTATGCTTTATAGATCCGAAGCAGGATTTCTTTACTTTGTGGTGGTAGCTTTGATTTTAAGAGCCTCAACACAAACATTTCCTTTCTAGCCCCTTTACACAAGTCCTCAACATATCGCTTCAATTTCAAATCACTGCTGATTGTTATCCCCAAGTGCTTTGTCTCACTTGAGAAGGAGATGTTGTGGCCCTCAAACATGACTTGACCATCTATTTGTTTATTAACTGGCGCTTTAGCAAAGCACAAGCATACAGTTTTTGAAGGGTTGAATTTCATACCCCAGGTGTTGGCCCAACTGCTTGCAGCAGCCAATGCACAGTTCAAACCTGCAGCCGCGAGGGCTGGATATGCACTAGTGACAGTTAGTAAAGTGTCGTCCGCATATGCAGCTGGTGTAACTCTTATACTGTCTGGTAACAGCCCAGAAAGCTCCTCCAATGCATTTAATAAATCATTTAAGAAGATAATAAACAGTGTTGGAGCAATAACACTGCCCTGGGGTACTCCAGACTGCACTTGAAGAGGTGAGGAAAATAAAGACCCAACTCTTGTTTGTTGCTGGCGAATACTTAGATAGTCGCGTATCCAGGCAAGCATTTTTCCTTGGACTCCAAATGCTGGAAGTTTGTGTAAGATAGCCTTGTGTGGAACCGATGTGAATGCATTACTTAGGTCTAGGAAAGCTGCAAGGCAGGTGTCCTTTTTTTCAGCAGCGTTTAACCAAGTGTGGTAGTCCAATGCCAGTTGGTCCAGTGTAGAGTGTTTTGGCAGAAACCCAAATTGGTGCTTTGATATTAATCCATTGTCCAAGCAGAATGCCATCAGCTTGTCATTTATAATGCTCTCTAGGATTTTCACAATGCACGAGGTCAAAGATATTGGTCTGTAGCTGAACGGGCTTGATCTCTCGCCTTTACGCTTGTAGACTGGTGTCACATAAGCAGATTTCCATATTTGGGGCAGTTTTGATGAGAAAAACGAAAGCTTAAAAAGGTGAGCGAGTACAGGTGTTAATTCAGCAGCACAGTTTTTAAGGAAAACATTTGGGACACCATCAGGCCCACTCGCTTTGTTGACATCAAGCTTCATTAACTTGCTGTACACACATTCAGGGGATATCTGTACATCAGTCAATATACCATTCTGGGTTTGAGTTAAAGGGCTGTCAAACAGTTGCTGTTCATCATAACCACTAGTGGAATAAAGGTGATTTAACATGTTTGCTTTTTCAGCATTATTCACGTATGATTTCCCCTCATATACTAAGTCAGGAATTGTATCGCAAGTTCCAGAGAATTTATATAGCTCTGAAAGCATGCCCCAGTAGTTTTTTGGGGAGTAGCTTGATGCCAAGTTCTGAGCTCGCTGTGCATAGTGTAAACGCTCGATATGTTTGACTTCATTACGTAGTGCATCCCTTGTTTTCCTATAGGCATTCAGGTCGTGATCACTTCTAGATAACTTGAAGTCTGACCAGTGTGCTTGCTTCAGTGATCTCAGCGTTCTGAATTTGGATGTAACAAAAGGTAAATTCTGCTTTCCTGCGTTAGTCTGACTTCGCTTAGTGGGTATGAGAGGACTCAATATTGAAGTCAATATGGCATAAAAATGTTTGGCTGCTGTCTCTATGTCTTCACTAGAGTAGACTGTGGCCCAACTGTGGTCCCTCAGTGATTGGCAAATTTGTGTCCAATTCTTGATTTGCTTGAAATTAAGGCAAGATAAATGATTGGGCCTATGTTCTGGCTGCACCTCAGTGGTACTAGCTGTAGAACTAAATTGTGACAATGATAACTCAATTACAGCATGATCTGATGTTCCTAATGGGGCAGAGACATTCACATCAGAAAATATTTCAGTGGAGTTAGTAAGTGCTAGGTCAATGAGGGACGGTGTTCCAGGGAGTCTGTCTGGGAATCGGGTTGGTGAGGAGACAATTTGAGACAAGCCTTGTTGTGTACAGAACAATTCTGTTTCCAACCCTTGTTTATCAGTTTTGTCCTCAGACCACCATTTAGAATTATGCACATTGAAGTCACCAATTATTATATTAGAGTAATTGTAGCCAATTGGGCAATTTTGTAATGCGTCCTCAAGATGGTGCAAAATAGACATGTCCTCATCTGGTTTGCGGTATATACAAGAAATAAACAGCTTCACAGAGTTCAAATATATTGAAAAAAACAGACTTTCATGGCTTTTGTGCTCCAATTGTGCATGTCGTTTGTATTTCACACCATTGCGTAAATATACAACTAGGCCTCCACCAAATGAAAATATGCAGGTCAGATTGCACAGTTAGTGTGCGTGCGCGTGTGTGTGTGTGTGTGTGTGTGTATGTGTGTGGATGTGTGTGGATGTGTGTGTGACCTTCTTGGTGTAGAACTTGTTGAGTTGTGTCTCTTGGCCGTTGCGCCTCCACAGACACAGCACTTTGGTTTTGGGGCAGTAGGTCATGTTGATGAGCTTCTCGTACCACCAGCGCTCGTAAACCGTACCAATGTTACTGCGGAGGACGATGCAGTCATCACACACCTGAGAGAAAGACACACAAGTATAAATGACACAACATCACACAGTGTGGTACGGGAGCACAGAACACAGACAAACTGCAGACCAAGACATTCCTAGTTCAAAATGAAGAATTATATTGAATGAGCCATACCTCCATGAAAAAGATGTCTCCTTTGTTGTCAATGCCAGCGTGAACCACAAACGTCTGCTTTTTGATGTGTCGGCTTCCACAGGGCCGGATGGAGAGCTCTCGACCATTCTGTAAACACACACACACACAAACGTGTGAGTAAGGGGTGATGTCACAGTACCTCAGGAGGAGGAGGAGGAGAGTGGGGGTGTACCATGTGACTCAGTTTGTCCAGGAGCTCGTTGATCTCTTGGCTGTATGAGAGGCCAATGTGAGACTTGCCCATCAGACGCCTCACCTTCTTCCGGATGTCGTTTTTGTTCACCTGCACACGCACATACACACACACTCATCGTTCCACTTCTGTGACTCATTCACTGTAACTAACTAATAAAAGTAATAATACGTTTTATTTATATTGCACCTTCTACAAAACCTCAAAGTGCTGAAGATTAGAATAATAACTGTAGGAGGGCTGCTGTACCCTCCCAGCAGAGGCAAAGGGACAGACGTACTTTGAGCATGAGCATGTAGGCGACCATGTTGTGTAGCAGAGTGGCCAGAAGGCGGTCCTCATCGTCCTCCAGACGCTTCCGCTCGTGTTCTCCCAGGGACAGGTACCTGCACACAACACACAACACAATTCAATCTAACACAACTAAAATTTGTATTTCCTTAAACGACAAAATAGTGTGTTTGTACGTGTGTGTTGTGTGTTGTGTGTGTGTGTGTACCTCTCAATCATCTCGTGTGGGCCCTGGTCCATGCCCATGCCTTCTCTCTCCAACATGACGGCGTCCAGGAAAGCGTCCTCCCAGAACTGCACTTGGTCCCAGAGAGTGGAGCGCTCTTTACCTGCAGCCGCCACAACATGTCATTAACACTATATCACAGCAGAAAATACTCAAACTCTACTTGCTTTTTATCTCCCAATAAAACTCAGATCATCTAATTGTATTTAAAGTGGTCCCTTGTTTATCGCTGCGGTACGTTCTGAGAATTACCTGCAATAAAATAAGTCCTCTCAGTAGCAGCTGTTTTAAAGCTGTAAAACCCTCATTCTTTATTCACTTTACTAAACACCTGAACTCACCACTGAGGGGGACCAGAGAAAGACCAGGGAGAGACTAGAGAAGGACCAGAGAGAGAGACCTTAACTAAAACTGCAGTGCACAAAATATTTATTCTCACGGCTATATGATGTTGTATATTATGTTGTTGGAGTATTTAAACATGATAAGTACACTGTAAAAAATAGACAATTGCATAAAAACTCCAGCAAAAGGTGAACCGCGATTGAGAGGGACCACTCTACATAAATAATTTGGTGCTGCAGTATAAACAAACTGTTGTAGTAATAGTTGCAAAAATCAAAGAACAGTGTGTAACTAGCTTGAAAACATTAATTTAGAATTTTTGCATTACTGTACAGGTAATAACAAAAGCATGTGTTGAAAATAATAATATAACAATTTTACACAGTGAAAATGTTATGGATACTCAAAGATGCTTCACATTAGATTCACATGAGGCAATGTGGGTGAAGTGTCTTGCCTAAGGACACGACCACAGTTTGGCACTTTAATATTTCAATTGTGTTCCCAGAGGTCTCACTGTGCTCTGCTTAGACTCTGAGGTCTGACAGGATCAGGCTTTCTAATGCAGGTCGTGACACAATTATCAATGAATAAAATCAGTATAATAGTAAATTAGCCATTACCCAAAAAAACTAAACTAAATCTGAAGTAGGGCTGGGAAATATTGCAATTTTTGGGTCACATGGAAATGACCAGAGGAAACTATAAAGTGAAACAGCTATATATGTATATAATTAAATATCACAATACTTTGCCATCGTTTCCATTTAATTGTGTTTGCAAAATATCACAATACTCAACAGACTCCATTTCATCCCCCACCACTAATCTGAAGTTGAAGTTATAAATACATAATTTGTAGTGCTACAGTGTGCTATAGTGACCTATTAACAATAAATAGGAGCTGAAATGAATCGCTATTTGACATAAATTATAGAAGCGTAAGTCTCGGGGTTAATAGCGGAGGCCACATAGCACCACAGCAGCAGTACCCACTTGCACACAGAGGAAGAGGCCAAAGAGATTAGCCCTACTTAGAGAAAAGGTTTCCATGGCAGCGTCCTCCAGCTGGTCCCAAACGGAGCTCTTATCTCGTCCTGAGAGGGAGACCAGAGCAGCAGGAGCAGAGGGGTTAGTGACAGCAGCCGAGACAAAACATACAACAGCCACCAACACAACACAGCAAAGAGTCCACAGCAGACAATACACAGGGTTAAGGAGCGAGTCAGAGGCAGAATCAGTACAAGAAATAGTGATAAAAGCGATACTATCTTATTGTTAATCAGTGTTTTAATTAAAGATAGATTTTCACATAAAGAAGAAATTGTCCACCTTATCATCAAACATGATAATATGACTATTTACATTGTCATTTCATGAGTTAGAATGTGTATTAATAGAATAGTAGTAGAAAATCTATGGTTTAATAAGTATATATATGATAAATAATGCTATAGGCCTGCATCACTCCTAAACAACCACCAGGGGGAGGAGTTGGATTTGTGTCATATGGCTCAGTCCTGGTGGTCCAGGGATGGAGGAGCTCACGTACCCAGGAGCCCCTCACACAGGTAGATCCTCATGCTGAGGTCTTCCAGAGGTGGAGGAGGACCTTTCCCCATGGCAGACAGCTGCTCTCTGGCCCCTGGCTTCAGTGTGTGGGTCCTCCCCTGTGGAACACATTCATCCAGTCTCAATAAAAGCTCATGCTGTTATTACTATTTTTTATTCTGGTCGTATTCTCTCCTGCTAAAGTACAAAACCAAAATATACTCCACATTATCTTAAATAATAGACATGTTAGTGTCATATGAACAAACTCTGACTCTGAGGAGCACAGGGACTGGCCTCCTGCTGGTCCCAGATAACCTTGCCTGCAAGTTGAATTCTCGTGGTATTTGTGAGTTCACAAACACTCGCGAGTACATATTGCCCCACTCCCGCCAACCCTTTTTGAGTAGAACATCTAGGTGTTCAAGTCAATCACGCGCCAGTCTGGGGGTTTAGGAGCAGAACAAACATGGCTACGCAGGAAGACGGACGCGTAGCTGAGGCTATCAAGTCAGTTTTAGCAGAATCTCCAATTTCTTTTTTGAAAGATGAACAGCGAGAGGCGCTTTGTGCATTTCTGAACGGCAAAGATGTTACCGGGATTGGTTTAAGTCAAACCTTGGTAGGCGGGCACACAGCGTCACTTCGCCCAATCAGCTTGAAGTATTCTGCTGCTTATCCCTCCTTTCCCCCGAATGGATTCTCCTGCAGAAGTCCCAGATTGATATTGTGGAGAACGCATTAGAGTTCTACACAATCATCAATCTGGCTCTTGCCAGGTTAGGTCCCAGAGTCAGGATTAAACATGGGGAGGCAACATTTCAGATGCATTGCCCTATAATCTGGAACAGTCTTCCTGAAAACGTGAGACAGGCTTTGGTTCGCTTCCCTGCCTGTGTTGGTATTGTGTCGTTTCCAAGTTCTCCTCTGTTCCAAGACTGGGTCGCTCGCTCCACGTCCGGCCAATCTGTCTCTGCAGCTAATCATCACCAGAGAGGACGGGTTTCTGTTTGTCAGAGTTCAGTGATTCAGATTTCCTGTGTGGGTGTGTTTGTTTTGAGTTAGTTAAATTAAGACTCCTTGTGTTTTTGATTCGAGTTGTCCTAAACAATAACTATTTTATTAAACGCCATTTAAATAACCGTTTTACATCTTGGTTTTGTATGTTACATTCCTCTTCCCCTTACGAGCTCAACTATAGAGTTGTAACAGGCTTCTTCTCTGACAATGTTCAAATCAAGGTTAAATCTGTTTTGTTTAGCTGTATCTTCACTCTTTTTAATGTACTATGATTATTTAGGATTTTCATGCCTTGTGTGATTGTTTCTACCTTCTTTGTTCAGCACTTTGAGTTGTCGTGTGTATGAACTGTGCTATACACATAAACTTGCCAAGGTTTATTTTATTTTATCTAACCTGACCAGAATAAACAATGGTATTAAAAGCAAGCAGGTAAGGTGAGGCTCTCGTTGTACAGTCTGACAGCAGCAGGATGAAGGAGCCGCAGAACCTGTCCTTTACACAGTGAGGGTGGATAAGTCTGTACACATAAGTCTTGCACTCACAAAGACGGCGCTGGTGGCAGGGTTGGTCTCGATCTCGCTGTCAGAGAGCGTGCCCCGGGATGTGGTGAGGTGGGCTGCGCTCCTGCCCAGGCCGTCTCCTGCTGTGCTGCTCAAGTCACTGTCCGCTCCCAGAGTCTCCCCAGAGCTGTTGCTGATCTGCAGAGAGAATGAACATTACTATGAAGGACTTTGCTGGGAGAGTGTGTGTAATAATGTAAAATAATAATAAATTGGTTTTATAAAGAGCGCTTTTCTGGACATTCAAAAACGCTTCACATGTCATTATTCATTATCTTCTAAACACAGAGGTGATGAAATACTACTGTAGACCCAGCTGCCTCTCCGACCACCAGACTGCAAGAAATGATAAAATATGAGGTAATTTAGTCTTATTTCAAGAACTGTTGCTTTATTTTCTCATTCCAATGAGCTCAGATTAAGATACATTTCGCCAAATTTTAGCAGATTTTTGACTTCTTTTTCATCACTTTTTGCAGTGCATCAACCATTCACACCCACTACAGACTCACTCCAGTGTCTTGCCTAAGGACACAACCACAGTTTGGCACTTTATAGACGCACCACTGTGGCACCTGGCATTCCCAGGGGTCTTTCAACATTTCGCCACATTTCAGGCTTCAAACATAAAGATATACAATTTTAATTTTTTGTCATGAATCAACAAGTGGGACACAATCGTGAAGTGGAACAAAATTTATTGGATAATTGAAACTTTTTGTTACAAATAAAAAACTTAATAGTGGGGCGTGCAATATTATTCGGCCCCTTTACTTTCAGTGCAGCAAACTCACTCCAGAAGTTCAGTGAGGATCTTTGAATGATCCAATGTTGTCCTAAATGACTGATGATGATAAATAGAATGCACCTGTGTGTAATAAAGTCTCCGTATAAATGCACCTGCTCTTTGATAGTGTCAGGGTTCTGTTTAAAGCGCAGAGAGAACTATGAAGACAAAGGAACACACCAGGCAGGTCCGAGATACTGTTGTGGAGAAGTTTAAAGCCGGATTTGGATACAAAAATGTCTCCCAAGCTTTAAACATCTCAAGGAGCACTGTGCAAGCAATTATATTGAAATGGAAGGAGTATCAGACCACTGCAAATCTACCAAGACCCGGCCGTCCCTCCAAACTTTCATCTCAAACAAGGAGAAGACTGATCAGAGATGCTGCCAAGAGGCCCATGATCGCTCTGGATGAACTGCAGATAACTACAGCTGAGGTGGGGATGGTGTGTTCAGGGTGATGAGCTGTGTTGCTTTTACGCCAAACATATCGTTTTGCATTGTGGCCAAAAAGTTTGATTTTGGTTTCATCTGACCAGAGCACCGTCTTCCACATGTTTGGTGTGTCTCCCAGGTGGCTTGTGGCAAACTTTAAACGAGACTTTTTATGGATAAAAAGTCCATAAAAAGGACTTTTTATCCACATTTCCACAGAAAGGAATGGCTTTCTTCTTGCCACTCTTCCATAAAGGCCAGATTTGTGCAGTGCACGACTGATTGTTGTCCTATGGACAGACTCTCCCACCTCAGCTGTAGTTATCTGCAGTTAGTCCAGAGTGATCATGGGCCTCTAGGGTGCATCTCTGATCAGTCTTCTCCTTGTTTGAGATGAAAGTTTGGAGGGACGGCCGGGTCTTGGTAGATTTGCAGTGGTCTGATACTCCTTCCATTTCAATATAATTGCTTGCACAGTGCTCTTTGAGATGTTTAAAGCTTGGTAAATCTTTTTGTATCCAAATACGGCTTTAAACTTCTCCACAACAGTATCTCGGACCTGCCTGCTGTGTTCCTTTGTCTTCATGGTTCTCTCTGCGCTTTAAACAGACCCCTGAGACTATCAAAGAGCAGGTGCATTTATACGGAGACTTGATTACACACAGGTGCATTCTATTTATCATCATCAGTCATTTAGGACAACATTGGATCATTCAAAGATCCTCACTGAACTTCTGGAGTGAGTTTGCTGCACTGAAAGTAAAGGGGCCAAATAATATTGCACGCCCCACAGTTAAAAAAGTTTAAATTATCCAATAAATTTCGTTCCACTTCACGATTGTGTCCCACTTGTTGTTGATTCATGAAAAAAAATTAAAATTTTATATCTTTATGTTTGAAGCCTGAAATGTGGAAAAATGTTGAAAGGTTGAAGGGGGCCGATTACAACTTCCTGCTCTGGACAGAGCAATCGCATTCTCTTGCTGCTCCTCGCTTGCTGCTTTTTTATCTCCTTTAATCATTTTTGCTTACATTTTTATTCCACAAAACACGGATTACTCCTTTTTACAAACTTCAACACAAGACTTGTGGAATTTACCTAACTTACAGCATGTCGGGAGGACGGGAAAAAAGAACAAAACTTTGCGACGGCTGTTTTTCACTCAAACAGGAGCTAAAACTTCTTCAAGACCGAATGTTTGTGCTTGAATCAGAATTGGGGCTGAACACAACAATACCAGTTAAAGGAAATGGAGCAAATGGACAGAACGTAAGTTATGATGACGCTATTTCATTTCCCAAAATCAACAGAGACAATTGTTGGTACACATATGGTGCCAAGCCCAAACAAGGCAAAGCTAATGATAACAAGAGTGTCATAATGCCACAGCAAAAATCTTTAATTACAAGAAACCGCTTTTCACCACTTTTGGAAGATGAATCAGCAGTAGCCTCTCAGTCCCAGTCTCAGTCTCAGTCTCAGTCAAGGTCAAATGCAGCTGAGTCGCTCTTTATCGGGGATTCTGCAATAAGACATGTAAACATGCGTAATCTCAAGGTTCACTCAGTACACTCTGCCAAAGTGGATGAGATAAGGCGGTTGGCTCCGAGGCTTCTGTCTGAGACCGGCGGGGTAAAAAGATTGTTGATCCACGTGGGGGCAGTAGACGTCTATGACAACACAAGTGAAAAGTTGAAACGGGATTACTCTCTCTTATTGGACGACCTTGCTAAAATGGACGCAACAATCGTTATCAGTGGCCCACTACCAAATGTGGACGGGAAGCAAATGAAATTCAGTCGTCTGTATCAGCTAAATACTTTCCTACTCAACGAATGTTCACGCAGAGGACTTGCCTTCATTGAGAATTTTAATCTGTTCTGGAATAGGCATGAACTTTTTGAAGGGAAAGGGCCACATCTGAACACTTACGGAGTAAAAGTGTTGATGGATAACCTTTCTTTTGCCCTGAGACCTCAGCCTGCGCAGCGCGTGCAGCCATCGAAAGTGAGGAAGCCGACTCTAAAAGTTTCTGCACCTCCACCACCTCGAAGGATCTCAACACCACCACCACCTCGAAGGATCTCAACACCTCCACCACCTCGAAGGATCTCAACACCACCACCACCTCGAAGGATCTCAACACCACCACCACCTCGAAGGATCTCAACACCATCACCGCCTCAAAGGATCTCAACACCTCCACCACCTCGAAGGATCTCAACACCATCACCGCCTCAAAGGATCTCAACACCACCACTGTCATCAGAAGCAGCTGCATCATCACCAGCAGCAGCTGCATCATCACCAGTAGCAGCACCAGCAGCACGACCACCACCACCAACATCCTCATCCCCAGCCTGCTCCAAAGCAGCCACGCCTTCTTCATCTACAGCGCCTCTGAAGCCCCCATCCTCACCCCAGCCTACAGCAGACAGGCCTGTGCTGGGGTTTCCTCAACCACCTGCCCCTCCATCAAAGACTCCCTCGCCACCTCCCATGAACCTGTCTTGGGTCCCCCCTGCCACGTCCACTCCATCAAGAGAGAATAGGGACACCTCCCTTTGTTTTTCATCCCCGCCTTCACTGTTAGACCTACCTGAACACTCTGCAGGGCTAATAAAATCGGCGATGAAGACTATTCCTCTCACACCCATATTAGCTAGATCTAGAGTCCCGTCCAACATTCTAAACCACTGCCCATATGTACCTCCAAAACCACCTAGGGTTTCCAATTCACCTACAAAAACCACCTCAGCCAGTCCCTCCCCTAACCTCATGACCATTCCACCCCCACTTCCCCCTCGTTCAACACCCAAAACCTCTGCCTCAGCCCACCCCGGCCCTAACCCATCACCAAAAACCCCTCCACCTCCCTGCCCCCCTCGTTCAACACCCAAAAGCCACCCACCTCTCCATCCTCCTCCCCCGCCTTCCCCCTCCCCTCTTTTCTCTAAACACTAGGATGCACAGGGTCTCTGCTTCGCAGCCACTGGCAGTCTAGTTAGAGGAGAGACCCGGCTGGGGCCCTGTCATGAAGCCACCTGTGCCATTCCCTTAGTGATAACACAAAGAATACATTACAGAAAAACATCTGGAGTTAATCAGTCTAATCTGGAAAATCTAATTCTTGTTTCGTGTAAGAATCAGCCGACCACAACCGCTGATAGTGAAACTTTGAAACTTGCTACGCTTAATGTCAGATCTCTTTGTAACAAGTCTTTTTAATCAATAATTTTATTTGTTCTCATAATCTTGATCTTATGTTCATGGCTGAAACTTGGCTTGACCAAAATTCAGGAAATGCAGTTTTAATAGAAGCATCACCACCAAATTTTCAAGTTTGAATCTGAAATACTGGAAAACAAAAAAGGAGGAGGCTTAGCTGCCATTTTTAGAGACCACTTTGTCTCCCATAGAATGTCTCTTGGGAAGTTTTTGTCATTTGAATATGTGTCTTTTAAAATACAACAAAAACAATCTCCTCCAATACTCTTCATTGTCCTATACAAGCCACCACAGTCATGTCACAGTTTTATTGATAATTTTACCGAGTTGCTTTCAGTTGTATGCACAGATTTTGATAGTTTGGTTATTACAGGTGATTTTAATATTCATGTGGATAATGTTGATGACAGAAATGTAAATGAGCTGAGTTCTGTACTTGAATCCTTTGATCTCACTCAGCACGTAAGTGGCCCCACCCACAGCAGAGGGCACACTCTAGATCTGTTAGTTACTAAGGGGGTGAATATTTCAAATGTAAACGTGGTCGATGTTGCTCTTTCGGATCATTTCTGTGTTTTTTTTGACATGTGTTTCACTAACAAACCACCAGTGGACTCTGCAACTGTTCGAAGAAGGCGCATAAATGAAAATACGAGTGAACTATTTATGGGAATGATAAACTTTGAGA